CACCTCCACGTAAACAGGCCCCAAGAAAACAACTCTGTCGCGCTTTAAAATTTTGCTTCTTTCAAAAGCACGAAATTTAACCTTATTCGGTAACATGAGATAATAACATCGGAGATTTTCCAGTTTTAAGATATTTGTATGAACTTCTGGATAAATAAATCTCGTAGGAGCAAAAGAAGGTACTCTACCAATCGTTACACTCTATACATTGCTTTTCATCTCTAATTATAAGCCCTAAATTATTTTTACGGCGTAGTTTAAATGGCTCACAAACAAGCTCCTCAGCATGATTCTCAACAGATTCAAGATGTTTTCTTCTCTCATGGTAGTTTTTCATCTGTTTTCTTTCAAAATTTTAAGATAGTTAACGTTATTTCCCTTTCTGGTGGGAGCTATTTGAAAAAATAAAAAACAAAAAACACTATTCTCTCCGAGATAGAACCACTTTAGCACTGACCACTGGATTAGTCTTCGGCGGAAGAAAACCTGTCAAAACGCAACGAGTAACCGCAAATCAAATGACGCAAAAGCAGCTATCAGCACAACAAAATTAACTTCTACCGTTACCTTGTAAGTAGTCAGAACTCACATCAATTAGCAACACATTGGAAAATTTAATGTTCGTATCAGTTCTTCGAATCGATCGTCTTTACAATGGTTGTGACCAACATACTAAACTTGAAGATTTACGCAGCATTTACGAAAGTAACATGTTATCATAACGTTATTACCTCAGTACAATACTTTCAGACAAACTGTTAACGCTCATGTCTTTGCTAATCGGTAACGAGACTTTTTTTTTTAGTATGTCATTAAGTACTTTTTGTTCCCTCAGCAAAAAAACACCTCCAAAGAATCAAGGTGCAAAGCTGAGAGTATCAACCAGTAAACTACTCTAATTTGCCTAATGGCAAAGTCGTTGTGGTGGACTTACAAGTAAAGAAAAAAATTTATCAATAAACTTGAAGCTTTACGGTAAACAAAAGCTACTTGGTTACTTTTGTTGGCAGAGTCTTTGCTTCTATTTAACTTTGTCCTTGATCTGTGAGCACTTCACCGTACCGGTTCGGCCACTTATTGACTGGAGGACGACCGTAGCGAAGTAAGCTTCCATCAGGTGTGATCCATCCAACCGCTTCTTTAGTTGAGACATTGGAAATATCTGTGAAATGAGCTCTCGCGAACGTCATCTTTGCTCTCGCAAAGAAATATTATTTGAAAGGAATATAATTATTCTTTATTAGAGGAAGTCTTTCTTCAAGCCTGCTTCTTCTTGTTAGAAATGTTGCAGGGAATTTAGATGTTGTGATTGGTCAGAACATGTTCATTACACCTGCAACATAGCACGTGCTTTACCTCACGTGCGAGCTTCGTCGGGCATGATATCATAACCTACTTGGGACACGTCGAAAGCGCGCGGATATCATGCGAGCTTTTGCTAAAAGGTTCCTTGTGAATGATAAATATATAACATTATCAGTTTCCCTTTAAAACAATTATAGATAACGAAAATGAAAACAACCTGATCAAAATTCAGAGAGTAAAAACGTGATTGGCCAATGCCTGTCAACCTCAAATTAAAGCTTACTTTGTCATAATAATAATTTTGAAAAAAAGGCTATTTTTGTGAATATCTTTGCTCTCTACTGCAAAACTTCGGTAAACTGATCAGATTTTCATTTGGAGCTTCGCATAACAAGGGAAAACTTGTACTCTTCATTCCCCGCTTTTATCAACAACGAGTTAAAACCGACGAATTCATTTCACAACGTCATTATTATTCCGTTTTGATATAACATCGTTGGGATAATTTGAATGAAAATAATAGACAAAACAGACCAGGCGCGAAAACGTAGCTTTCTTTGGTCTCCAAAGTTCTTCACAGCACAAGCTGTCACAATGATTTGTCACGTCCAAAATGATAACCGTACATTGTAGTGCCATGCATACATCACAAAATTAGTGATTTTGGCGTAATTTTCCTACAGCTATGGGTCTTAGAATCACATGGTAGCCCTACAATTTTCACAGTTTTTCTAAGGGTCAACCACGCGTATAAACTCAAATGTTTCGTGCTGTTGCATCAGTTATTTTAACCATTTTTATTTTTCTTTGTCTGTTTGTTTGATACTTTTATGATTATCATTTTGTTGACTGAGACTTAAATGATCTTCAGTAGTCTCTACAAGTCCAAGGCTGAATACAATTTACCGTTTGTAGTAATACTTTTTCTTTCTTTACGATTCTGCTTAAAAAATTCCATCTATGTACACTTCCTGAATAGTACAGCAAATTTAGAAATTGTTTAGTCAACTCAAGGCATAATTATTTGCTCTAATATTATCTATACTATCATACGCCGTCGACTTCGACACTTCCTGAAATCCACGCACACATATGGCAACACTGATTCTTTGATCTTTCTTGGAATAACCACAACCATTTCCGTTAAATATTTGCCCAAGAGCTGGGTGTCAAATTAGCTGGTAAATGTTTCTCCATGGAAATATTCATTTTTCAATTTAAAAAAAAAATATCGACTGAACTTAAAAAAACAATTAAAACATAAAGTTTAGTACACAATTAAGAATGGAAGTTGTGTGGAAGGAACGTTAGTATTTCATAGCCATCGCGTTGCGAAGTGCAAGAGATTTCTCAAAGGTCAACGAGTCGTGCGTTCATATATAACAAGGGGTAATTTCATGATCTCATGCCAAAACTTCGATCACAGCTGAAGATTCTGTCATTCTCCATGATATAAAAAAGTATTTAAGACTAATCCATTGACCGTTTTCGGGAGGGTTAATCAGTTATTGTTATGCAATTGAAGAAAAAAATTGGAAAATTTCCCTGGTCTCCTATTACTGTAGAATCACGTGTTCCCCCTCGCGGCCCTCACAAGTTAGCTCGCAACGATTAGCGATGCATAATGGCGAATGCGATGGTTTACAGACTTCTAGTGACTCTTTTGATTATTTGTCGCTCTGTTTCAGGTAAGTTGTTGGCGTGCCCATTGAAAAGAGCTTAAGAAGTCGCTCAGTGACACGACAAAAGGATCCTTGAAATTATGTGCAAACAATATTCAAGCGCGCCCATGCATAAAATAGTACTCCTTCCCCGCTCACTCCGTTTTGTTTATCTGCTAGTTTCCACGTAAAATCATCTTGGATCACGCGAATCTGCATTGATGAAGTTATTTTAATATCCGTAGTATTTTTGCGATCAACAAACTGGGGAGGAACTAAACGAAACGGGTGTGTTTATTAATAGTATGCGGGTAACCTTGCTTCGAAAGAGGTTGTTTTTCCGCAGGTCAAAGGAGCAGTTTAAACATTCTTCGATCTCTGTGGCTTTTTCTTAAAATCGTTTTCTTGTTAAATGGCTTGTGGTGTGCGTAGTTTGTAAGATCTGAATGGAAAAAAAAACTCTTCAGATTTTAGTTGCGCGAGTACCTAGTCGACTTGAGGTTACGACCGAACACGATGCATACTAATTCATCTCATGTTTACCCACTCGTAACAAAATAGATTGTTATTCTCGGTAAGGCGTGATTTTATTCTTCGAAGATGTCAATTTTAGGATATTAGAAATGTGAAATGGTTTTTTCTGCCTATTAGAACGGTGATTTCGCAAAGTTTCGATCCATACGCAATGAAAAATGATTGACTTATTCCACAAGATAAAAGATCGCATTACTCCTCGGATAATAGTTGACATGGGGGAGGTACTGGGGGAGGTTTCGCGGGAGGTGACGAAGGAGGTACATGTGTGTGTACCGATCGTTAATTTTGGCGAGGGCTCGCTTCGCGTGTTCATTTCTAATTAAAACTTCAATACTATTTTATCCCATGGAACAAGTATATGACAGGAAGGCTTTTCACTCCAAAATGGTCTGTTCTTAGATTAAAAATATCAAAAAATAATAAATAAATGAATGAATAAATACTATTTATGTCTAAATACATAGAAAATGGACACATTTTTAAATGCATTCAATGACTCCCTGGAGTCTGATTTTTCCACACAATCTATTTATTAATTTGTTTATTTACTGGCAATATTTAACCAGACTGGCCAAGCTCAGCTATAACCTGGTTCAAATAGGGCACTGAAAGGTTCTTTTAAACTTCTCAAGAATATCAGATGTCAGTGGATGCCAAAAATTATGTTGTGTTTTTAGTGGAACATTTCTGAATATACTTTATTGGGTATAACATCTAACTGCTAGGCATTTAGTCTATTTAGTCCTGGATCTAGCTAAATTCCTCCCACGAATATTTTCAAATTAATATTTGGACAGATTTTCAGGCTCTCTATTCTTTGAAATAAAATTTCAAACAGCAGGATATTGAAAATAGAAGGTTGTCAAATGTGTCAGTTAAAGATTTTTATTGAGTCTCATTTCATCCTCTGACTAGAGGATGAACTAAATAATGTATTTAGGATGACAATTGTACTCAGTTAACAGTGGGTAGCTTACTCTAATGCTAAAGGCACCAGACATTTGCAGATGGCATTTGCAGATGGCATTTGCACATCTCAGATGGGAAGAAATATAGCATCTTCACTGTTCCTAAACTCCATAAGTTAATGGGTTGTGTTAGAAACTTTAAGCTGAAAAACATGCAGAGTTGAAATTTGGAAGTATCATTGTATGATGAAGATTTTTCAAAATCGGTACCTGATGGTTGTATTGTTTATTTCACAGTACACATAAATCCCTTGAACTAATTCCCGTGTTACTGCCAGGCTCAAACCATTTTAAATCAATGCATAATTAACACTTAATTTACAAATACATCTAATTACTAACAAGGAGGTTAATGTTTTTATTTTGATACCAAGCCTCTAATTGTCCACCTGACTGGTATGGATTTGGTAACTCTTGTTACAAGTTTGTGGTGAGATCTTTGTACGTGAAGGGCCTCAACTGGGAAAATGCACGAAGAACTTGCCTAAATTATGGGGGAGACCTGGCTAGTGTTGAAAATATTTCAGAAATGAACTTCATATACAGTCATTCCTCCAAGAATTGGAGGGAAAATTATTGGATTGGACTCAATGATCAGCACAATGAAAGCCAGTTTGTTTGGAGTGATGGAACACCTTTCAACAGTTCTGTCTATAATAACTGGAACAGTGGTGAACCTAATGATGGTGGTGGAGTAGAGGATTGTGTTGAGCTCTATCTCCGTCGTTGGAATGACGATAAATGTAATAGTGAGCTTGGTTATATCTGTGAAAGGCCTAAAGGTGAGTATGAAATATTGATTAATCCCTGAGTGATGCTACATGTACACTATGAATGTAATTTACTTAACTCTCTTATTCCTAAGATCTCATAAGTAATTTCCTTTGTTACTGTTTGCTATACAATTCATATGATGTGAGTTTGGAGAATTTTCAATTGAATCAATTATCAATCCCTCATCACCCAACTGCTTACCAACCTCTTGGTATTTTCTTGGTATCGTAAGGAGAAACTCTGTCTTAGTTACTCATGAGGGTTGAGGGATTAACAATAAAAATGTATAATGTGGTTCTTCCTTAACCCTTTAATACTAGAAGCGATTGACATGCAACTTCTTCCTATAATATCCATTCATTATTCAGCAAACTCATCAGATAGACATTTTAATCTTGATCTAGCATCACATTCTTGTAACTAATTCACAAGCTAAGTGCAGCAGCTAGAGGGGAGAATTTAAACAAATCAGATCTAGAACTTTTTACCAGTGTTGTTATGATATATTTATAGGTTACTGACTATATATTATATCTTATTATGGGAAAATCTTCCAAATTTGATTTGTTTTCGTCACGGAAAACAAACATGTATTTCTTTTTTTTTTGACAACATGGTGGTAGTTCAGATGTCAGAGATGGAATTCCTTTGAAAATTTCTCACCTGGTTCCCCTATGTACAAATTAAGCTGTATACAGAAAATCAATGTTACTTCAATTTATCACTTTGTTAGACTCTAGTTCAGGTATATTCTGTTTAGTGCTTCCCATGTTTTTACCTCATATAACATACCACATTACCATTACATAAGAGGAATCTTTAAGCTGTATTTGAAGGGCATCTGAAAACTGATGTACTAGATTTTGAAGATAGTTCTGCAATCCCATCAAAGTTGTTGGCACAACGTTTTATTTACCAAGCATCACTTACAGTAAAATAGCAAACATTTCCAAGACCAAAGATGTGCATTTTTTTAAACTTTTTTTTCTCTTCTTTCTACAGGAGTACCCATGCCTACCTCATTAACTGTATCACCTCCAGCCACTTCCAGTGAGTTCAACATTTTAGGCATATCCTTATTCAGTGGCAGAAATTTTGCCAATTTAAGTATGAATTACTTTGGAACATTAGCAGAAGAATCTTGTTTCCTCGCAAAAGAATGCTCAAAATTTTTAACTGAATTTGACATTTTGATGGGAAATCTATTTCATTTCTTAAGTAACATGATCTTCTATTGTTCAACTCAAAGAGAGATTCCATATCTACACACATCCATGCATTGTTCACCACCTATGAATTTAATGTCTTCAGAGCGTAAGCAAGCAATTTGAAGAAGTCATTTATAGAAGTCTCTTTGCTGTCTTAATTCTCAAAAATCTATGCAAATATTCTCTGATGATTTTGAAACCATTCATTATTGTTATTTTTGTTCCTCACCAGAATTACAAGCTGTTATAAGCTATAATTCAACAAAGCAAAAGCATGTGAACTACCTTTAAATTGTAGCTTCAACTTCAAACTTTTTAAGGGTATTAATGTTAGGAAGCTTTTGAATTAATAATTTTCAAGCAACTCTTACATTTGACACTTGTGATTTGGAAAACCTCTAAGTTGTTTGAAAATTCTCTTTGGACTTGTGCAGATATTTTTCGATGGAGATTTCTTTCATTGTCTAAAATATTTTTACTTTTTGACAACACCGAATTTAATCTGTGTAGACATATCAACCTTTTCACTCCCAAGATCTGATTAGTAATTCTCCTTACTATCTGCCATACAATTCTTATGATGTTAGTTCAGAGAATTTGGTATTGGATCAACTAATAATCCGATGATTGATATTCTTCTCTATTCTCATCACCTTCCTGCTTGATATTGTATTGATATTGTAAGGAGAAATTCTGTCTTGATTACTTATGGGAGTGAAAGGGTTGATCCTTTAACTCCCAGAAGTGATATATAAACATTTAGCTTCTGCCTATGATATCCATAGATTATCCAGCAAACAGATAATGGGAATACTTAAATTTATTAGGTAGAATTAAGATTTTCACTTGATCTAACACCAAATTCTCACTCCAAATTTACAAGTAAATGTGTGGCAGCTAAAAGGGAGAGTTATCAATAAGATCTTCGGGATTAAAACGGCTACAAATGTCAAGGTTGTGGTTCCTAGAGCCTTAAACTCACTGTTCTGTTAACCTTGCTGAAAGTGTATTTACCACTGAGCTTATTTTAAGGTTTTCAACATGCATTGATTAACAATTTGGAAGTAGGTGGTCCATTAACAGTTAGACAATTTTTCTGCAGCCCCCATTTCCTGTCCTATTGGATGGGAATATTATGGGTCATCCTGCTACAAGTTTAGCTCAGTTAGAAAGACATGGACTGATGCTGCAAAAGACTGCCGAGCATTGGGAGGATACTTGGTTAAAATAGATGACAGTGATGAACAGCATTTCATAACATTCAAGCAGAGAAGCAGTCACAGAGTGAGTTTACATGCTTCAATTTCTAGGTGATCCCAATTGTTTCTCTCCCATTATTTCATTTCCAGTGGTGGAGCTATTTGGATAAAAATTTGTAATTCAAAGAACAAGGCTAGCCTGGGTTCCTCGTCAGTTTGAACTAAAGTACAAGGGCATGAACATGTAGATTATCCTGGAGAGTCCTGGTCGAACCAGCAATCCTTGGTGTGTTCAATTGAATAAGCATGACTGTCTCTTAACCCTAACATCAGTATGCATATTCTCTGTATTATTGCTATATATATATCCCAAGATGCTGACAACGAGAATTTGTTAACGACGAAGATCGAGCCTATTTATGGCTGGTGATCATTTCATTTATTCTTGTGACCCTCATGTGTAATTCAGGGGTAATATTGTAGGGAGAAATCAGATGCCAGTCACTTGTGGGGTAGGTAGGTATTTTTCCCGTGCCCTCCGCTTGATTATATGCTCTCTTGCATTCATTCAAAACCTCCTGCCGTCAGTGTTTTGTATCAAAATTTAAAGCCCACATGAATGATTGTGCTCCATTAATGAGTTACAAAATTTAAAATATGATTTATGAAAAAAAAACCGTGTCCATTCCATGTTAATTTCAAACAAATAAACTGTTGTTTTTGCAGACGAGATGGATTGGATTAAGTGATTCTGCTGTTGAGGGAAATTACAGATGGGAAGGTGATAATACATTGGTAAACTACACTTATTGGGCAACAGATGAACCAAATGATTTTGCAGGCTCAGAGGATTGTGTTCAAGTCTGGGCTTACTCTTCAGGAGGTTTATGGAATGATGATTTTTGCAACTCAGAACACTACTACATCTGTGAGAAACCTGGTGGTATGTTTCTTATTTTTAATTGAAATTTCCCTTACCCCTAACTTTTTGACTGCAGGAGTGAGTTATGCACATTGTGGTTTGGAATAACTCCCATGATATACAGTTTCTGTGATCTCTACAACTGTATTTCATTAACACCCTATCTAAACATACTGGCCAAAATATAGAACATCCTGATGTAGAGGTAGCTGTTCCTCTTTCCTCAACATTCACTAAGGGCTGTGCCACAAGGCAAAACACAAACGTGAGGCCCACCTGCAAGAGGTTCTCAAGGTAGCAGAAGACTGCTGGGATAACCAGCTTTTTTAAAAACCCTTACTAATATCATACTGCTTAGGGCTATTGATGGGCTTTGGACTCAGTTAGATCTTAAGGCATGAGACTAGTGGACATAATGTGTGCGATTAGGCAGCTATACACATACATACTAAGAAAAGTGAAAAAAGACCCAGCTGGTTTGCATTGGAAAATATATATTTCTTTTTTTGGTTTCTGTGTGTTATATGCAAAAACAGCAATTCAGCCTGGTGTTGGTGGAACTGGTGGTTATTTACCTCTGCCTTGCATCTCAGTAAATATCTCTATTGTTCACCTCCACTTTGGTGAATAATTGTTAACTATATTGCATAAATAATCTCACATGGCTAAGTTTCCTGTGGAGTTTGGTCATAGATAATGCTAATGTGGCTATTTTCTTTTGAGTTATGTCAGTAGGGTAATCTAATAAAAATTTTTTTCAATCATTTAGGTCAAAACCTATGTCCATTAAATTGGAGAGGTTTTGGTGACTACTGTTACCAGTTCAATATTCATGGGGCCCATGCCAAGAGTTGGCTTGATGCTGAAAAAGCCTGCATGTCACATAATAGCGGGACTGAATTGGTTAGCATTAGCGCGGGGGCAGAGCAAGATTTTCTCTTCAAGTACCTTAAAGACATGAGAATTCCTCAAATATGGATTGGACTTAATGATCGTAAACAGGAGGGGACATATGTGTGGACAGACAAGTCCTCTCTCACCTACAAAAACTGGGCACCAAAACAACCAAGCAATGGTTTTTTCGGAACGTATGCAGATTGTGCAAGAATGGATGCTGATAATCAGAATGGCACCTGGAGCATGGCAATGTGTCGCAATAAGTTTGGCTATGTCTGTAAGAGAAAAAATGGTGAGAAAATTACTTTCATCGATTAGTGGTGATCATTTCCTTTATCCTCGTAACCTTAATGTTTGATTCACACGCAATGATAAAATTTCTAGTGAAGAGGTAAGAGCCCGCTTCAATCAAACACGTTTACTCAGCATTCAATGTAGCTACTCTTCAATACACACGTGAAGAAGAAGTTAATTTCTAAGGAAGAGAAAAAACAACTTTTACTAAATTTACCAACATATAAGACGAGAAAAATGAATGCGAAAATACCTCGAGGCAAAAACTTAACAAATGCTGAGGGAATATAGAGATACGAAACACTCGTAGCAAAATGGTTTACATCAGCGCAAAAATCAGACACACTGCCAAAATGGGCGTGAAACATGATATAAAAAAGGCGGTTTAGGTTACATTAAGTGCGAAAATGATGGTGTAGAAATGATACGTGTTAAAACGATTAGAATAAAGCGGAAATTAATTTGTGTGGAAACAAAAGACCGGTATCGAAGAGGCCATGGGCTCAAATCCCGTACGGGCCTGAATTTTTTTTGTAGGCCTCAACTTCTAGTTCAGTAGTGTTCATAGCTGCAAGGATCGCTACTATATTCGTTTCTTCAACCGCAGTGCACGTATATGATTTTCATATATTTCCAGCCATTATTCGACATAAGACCTATTTGTGAGAAATCAGAAAAATTACACATTCGCCTCATCTGCTAATAATCATATAAATAGACTTTGAACGGATGGAATGGAAATGTGTTTAGTGAAATGTTATGGCATGTGAAGGACAGCAAGGAACTGAAACAAATTCGATCGATCGATTTATATATCATTCAATCATCTCATTTGAAACCAAAACCAATATGTACTGTCAGTAAATAGCGAAACGTCCACACAAGAGAGAGAATGTGAAAAAATAAAACTTTTAAAAATGAGAACGAGGTCGAACGTATTTCTCTATCCGCAATCTTGATCTGAGCATATCACGTGACTATTTTGGGTGCGAGTTTTGGATTTTCCATTTTTTGTTGATCCAATAAGGATTTTGTCAACAGAGAATTTTTCAAAGTGGACTCATTTAAGCCCAAACCACGAATCATCGGGTGCTGTAATGGATATCATGCACAAAGAAGCCATTCTATACTCGACGATTTACCTAACCTTTCCATTGTGTTCTGCAATCGCATTCCCGTGTAAAGTTCAAGAGCGGCGCCAGTCGAGCTTTTCCTAGAGTTAGAATTTTTTTCTTCATACTATTTGCATTCTGCTTCATGAATTATCATTAAAAATAAACACTTTGTAAGATTCAGAATAAGTCCTTAGATCATGGACAATGATGGGTAAGTTTAAGATATAAGAGCCATTTGTGAAATATTTAGCGTTGGTTGTGTTGACAAGTTTTTTGGGGAATTGTTTAATACAGCTGTATTTTCCGGGTATGCACACGTGCCTGAAGAATTGTAGGTTTTCCAAGAAAATACCATCGAAGTGTGGTTTATTCCATCAATCATCACGTTTAAGTGTTGTGTAATTAGTATGCGTGAGAGGAGTTAATTTATCTTACTATACCCGCTCACTGGCTTCAGTGATTGATGTCATTGTAGAGTGTTTCTTTAGGATATTTTTCAATATTGAGTGTCGAAAGTAATCCGAAATTGCTTCGTTTTAATTTTACTTTGTTTGATGATTGGTCCAGAAAACTCGGGCCACTTTCTCGACCAATCAGATTCAAGTCTAAATCCAATCGCGACTTGGTCACTTACGTTTTCCCGCGCTTCAGACAGTTTGCTTGTTTTTACGTTGATTTCACATAAGCTTCTCCCTATGATTGGCTGTTGTCATTGCTTTGGTTTGGGTTAAGTTTTACGTCACTCAATCGAAAAGACAGTCTCTGAACCCTGAACGGCGTAGCTGCCCCACCCGTTGTTCCACGACTTCTCTCTGTTTGATCCATGTAAAGTTTATCCAATTTTCAACCGGTTTTGTTTTGTCATAGGCATAAATCAGTGTGATTCGCCATTTGGAATGGAAGATGAGAGCATTGCCGATAGCCAAATATCTACCTCCAGCAATTATAACTTTTCATCTCGAGCAAGTCAGGCCCGTCTTCGTTTGGAAAGCGGTGACTTAAATGCAGGAGCATGGTGCGCTGCACAAAGCAAAGTGGTAAATTATTAACTAGGTCTTCATACTGATAACAATAGTAACAGAAATCATAGACCACGAGAAGTCAGAAAAAAGAAAAAAAAAATTGATGCTAGCGCGCCGCAGGGAATTCGGCGCCTCAATCCTAGAGCTCTCAGCGGCGCGCTAACAACAACTTTTTACAATTTTTTTTTTTTTTAATCGCGCGACGGACTTCGCCGAAAAGGAGAGACTGCTTGTATTATACAGAAATCATGACCTAAGACTAAGAACTTTCCAGAGTTTAATTTAGTTATGAAAGTAAGTAAATTAAAATTGCAAGTTACGACTATTGGAAGAGAGTAATAAGAGCAAAAAGGATCTTGAACGCACAAGGGCAGAAAATGAAAAAAAACATTGGTAGCTTTACTTCGGTCGGTACCCTTACAACGTGATGGTTTACGTTGTAACAATACATTCAACATTGTGTTGCGTTGGATGTGCGCAAATCCAGCGTGAAGTCATTTAAAGTAGCACAGCTTGAAGTTTTTTGCCTACAGGTCGGGCCCGGTTATTCAAAGAGCGGATTGCGCTATCAAACAGACAGATCGTTATCCTCTAGATATATATTGTGTTAATTAAACCTACCGCTTAATTTCCTGGTTGAGAGTTATCCACTGGATGATGTTATCCATCCTTAGAACAATCGGGGCCGGGAGGGAAAAGAAATAGGGCAATTATTTGTTAAGATTTTTCTGTGAGGAGGTAAATCCTAACATGTAATTTGTATTTTAATGTTCAGTTTGCCTTGTGTTCATTTACCGTTTTGTTATGTGGCAGGGTGAATATTTACATATTGATTTGGGAGTTGTGCGTCAAGTAAGACACATTGCACTTCAAGGAAGGCCAGGATCTTCTGACTATGTGAAGACATTCTATCTCAGATATGGAAACAATGGCCTGGATTTTAATAACTATGGTGAAAACGCCACAGTCAAATACAAGGTAGATAATGGGTTTCTTTTACATGGTGCTAATATTTACAAATGTTTTAAATCGGATTCAAACGAATGAGAAAATTTGGGGCAGTATATCGTTAACTGATGATTACTAGTATTATCTGGTGAGCGAGACACTCATTTAGTCAGTCAGGTAGGCAATCAGTAAATTAGTTAGTCAATCAAGCGACCTTTCTGTGGGTCCATAATTAATTAGGGAGTCAGTCGTTCAGTCGTTTGGCCGGTCCATTGACGTTTGCTTAGTCTGTTAGTTTGTCACCGAGTCACCAACACCACTATCATTATTGTAATTGATATCAGTCATTCATGTTTATGTAGCACTTCATAAGAGTCACTACCTTTTTGGAATTTCAGACTTTAGGTGGAAATGTCAATGATGCCGCGTCCGTCAGCAACATTGCCCTTACTGAACCTATCTATGCCAGATTTATCAGGATTTATCCACTTTCATGGAACTCTCGTATCTGCCTGAGAACTGAAATTTATGGCTGTGCATCACAAGGTAAGAAATAACTCAGCGCTGCACACTATGGCGTACTTTAACAGGCTTTAAAGCACATTTCGACTGAAAGACGTAGAACCAAAACAAAAGTTGTCACAAAAGCCAATCGCAAGAAAGTGAGATATCACAGGGAGCCAATGAGAGCTCAAATTAAAAACTTCACGCCGTCTGAAGCGCGGGAAAACGCAGGTGGCCAAATTCCGATTAGTTTTAGCCTTGAGTGTAATTTGCCGAGAAAGTGGCCAATCACATCTAGCGAAATAAAACAAAATCAAAGCATTGCAGGGCACTTTCGACACTCAATTGAAGATTGCTTATTTTCTTTATTGCATGAACTGTGTAATTGTTTGCGATGATTCTTTTACATATATCTTTATCTCGCCGTTCAGAGACATCGATATCATGTGACCTCACATAATGACCAGCCCCTAGTTGGTTTGATGGTTCAGCTGACTTGCGTGCTGCACTAGTCTTACGGGGCGATAACGAATTCGAAGCCAGTTCTCTTCTACTTTCCAGTTTAACCACTACTTAATTTTTTTATTACCACCTAACTGCAATGATCTTCGGTCAACTGGAATCTTTTCGTGCAGCCTAATTACTGTACATGACTTACCTATATTTTCCTTAATAAACAGTCTGTGTAGGATAAAAGAAAGTTCTTTAAATCGCATCTTTTTCCCTTTAGCCTCTTCTAAGAAGTGTGGGATTGGCTGGGAGATTGGACCTGATGAAACTTGCTACCAGATTAACTCGAATCAGTGGAAATTGTGGGCAGGTTTGTTTGTTTTGTTTTTAGCTGCTGTATTGGATAACATCGGTGGCCAATAGGTTTGATTCCCAACGGATTTCTAGATAGCACAAGTTCATGCTTGCTTGTAGAGGAGATTGAATCAATTAAGCTCTACCGAAACAAAAATGATTCTGTTGTTGTTATATTTGTTTTTGTTGTTGTTTATGTTTTCGACGAGATCATATAGACGTGTTGTGAAGGTAAAAGCCAGTGACACTGATCAAAAATTGATATTCACAAATTTTGATAAAGTCTTGAATTTCAGAAGCTCAGACAATCGTCTTTTGTCTTAAGTACGGTACAGTCAAAACCTCAGATATGGGCGAAAAAGGCACGAATGTTGTTCGGCAGACCCATGGTTTTAATAAAGTCCATAAGTGTTTAAAAAACCCTAATTGCATTGCTTTGCCATGAAAATTTTATAATGATTGTTTGTGCATGCAACCATATGACATAGGCAATACTGAATTTATTTCGGTTACAGATGCACGTGCATCTTGCCTGAGCAGAGGCGGTGATCTAGTCAGCATAGTAACTATGAAGGAGAAGAACTGGTTGAATAATAGATTGCAAGCGGTCAGTGGATGGACTTATTCATTTTGGCTGGGACTGAATGATAGAGACTCTCCTAAGCACTTTTACTGGAGTGATGGAAGTCCTTATAGATTGACCGCATGGGATGCTGGTTACCCCACAAACACACCACAAAGTGAGTCTGATTGCTTGGCATTTTAAAAGGTGGCATTTAAGAAAATTAAGAGATTAAATAGTGCATTCAGATTTGACTGTAAAATAAAATGCTCTTAATCCACGAAACAACGAGAAATACAGGACAAACATCCTGCACAACAGAGAGTCTTTCTATGAAAAATTAAACAGAAAAGTATTCACACCAGCTAAGTTGACGTTTGTGCAAGTTTCACAGCATCAAGCACTTCAGAATAACGCTGTGTCTAGCCGGTTACGAGCCCTTCACAGGCTTCACGTATTTTCAATCTTGGGTGGAGAGAGAGTAGTAAGAGTAAAATGTCTTGCTTAAGAAAGCAATGCTTGTGCTTAAGATTCTTTTTCTCCAAACAGCAAATTAGAGAAAAAAAATTTGTTATTTTTCGGGGTGGCATCACCTAGTCCATTATTTTCCTTAATCCCTAACTGAGGTTTTCCTTGATTTGTTCTCTCTTCTAATTGTATCTTCCTAGCTCCAAAAGCTTGCGTTGAGATTGATACAGTCAGAGGGGCTTGGAGAGATGTGAGCTGCGGAGAATATCGACCATTTATTTGCAAAAGGAAAATGGGTGAGTTCAAGTTCGTTACCAGGTAAAGGCATTTTACAAAGAGGATGAGGAAGACTGAAACTAGTATAAATTTAGTTTTTCATAGAGTACGCATTACTCATGATTTCTGAGTATGCTCTGATTTATGCTGAAATGGTGTGGTGATATTTCTTTATTAATTCTTTATTCATTCTTTTGATATTGATCCCTTTGGATCAATATCAGTATCTGGGCGACGGCCCACCTACCCCTCCCCTATCCCAACATTCACCCTAACTTATTATCAATTGACTGTTGTTGGGTTAGGGGAGTAGTAGGTGGGCAGTTACCCAGATACTGGTATTGATCCAATTCTTTTATATCGCGTAGCAGCCAATAATCACCCTTCAGAGCTATCTTTGAAATAGCTGAGACAGTATTTGTTAAAAATAGTCAATGAACGGACTGCTAACGGTTGATATGTTTTTTTTGTTATTAGCAAGTGGTGTGAAGACTCCTGTGACTGGAAGTAAGTTTTCAATCAATAGCTGTGTAAACTTTGCAATGTGGGTGACTGAATTTATCGCTTAAGTCTGTGTTTTTTTATTTCAAAGTAGACATCAGTGTGGTTGGCTTTAGATTCTCGTAATATGTATGATGCTTTCCGGACATTTAACCATCATGCAGTGAGAATTAACCACGGTTCTGACCTGCGATTCAACCCTAAGCAATTACTGGAATCACTTCACAATAGTTGCCGCACAACGTAAGGTTATCTATCGCCCTTGGGGGATGGTGTTGGGTGGGTGAGTTTGTAGGATTTGGGGGGTTATAATATTGTTTTCACGCAGAAGGGAGGAGCAATCAGTCGTTTCTAACAAGAGGTTGGAAATGGACTAAAGAATATTGCAATATTTACTGCGAAGTAGGGAGATGAAAAGATTACTAGAGATTCAACTATTAACTTTTGTGCAGATGTATGGAGCCAGCTTAGTAATGATAAAAGGAATGCCCCCACCCTAACTTGTTTTAAGCGCCAAGTTCTAGACGCTAGCCGTATAATTTGATTTTTTCTCCTGTAAGCATGATAATTATACCTATTTAAATCTTATTTTCCGTAAATCTTTTAATTTATATACTTTTACTATTTATACTGGTACCATTTATACTATTCATACTATTTTTACCATTTATACTGGTTTCTTATCTTATCTTTTTTATCTATAAATGATGGTAGTTTTTTAGATTTTAATCCTCTTTGGAGGACCCTCGTGTAAACCACTCTTTGTAATCCTGGTATCCTCAATAGAGATCATTTAATTAGTCTTATGGAGGGATCAGATAAATTTCATGATAACCTTAATTGACTCACCAAATCCTTAGACCCTCTCCTTCCCGGCAATAATTAATGCCCGGTCTCTTAAAGGTTTGGAACTTTAGGCTGGAAAAAATTTTTAAAGTCAGTGAACGATATTTAAACTCGTAGTGTGAGTTGACTCTCAAACAGCCTTATGTGCAACCAACTAAACTGGTATTATAATGTCTTTTTTATATTCTGGGATAGGGATTATACTGCACAACTCATTACTTTTTTACTGACCTTCATGATAGGTGTTTGTACTGATGTATATTTATGATTTTTTAAGACTGGATTAGTGGGACAGATTACTATTGGCCGCTCGATCAAATTGTCGATGGGAAGTCGGTTGTTGGAACAGTCCCAGCTATTGTTCACGGCGAGGTGAAATCATCTAACTCGTCTCAAAATGGACGCAGCGTCGTATATTTTAGGGGCTACCAGGCGCATTTGGATGCGGAACGGTTTCAAGATCCCTGCATATCGAATCTAGATAAGTGCGAGAATGGCATCTCTGTCTCATTTGTTATACAGTTCGAGGATGATGCCAAGACCTGGAAGACAAACACTTTCATTGTGTACACATTCGAGGACGTATTGCAGAAGGGTCGAGGATTTGCACTTTATTACGTCAACGGTCAATTACATACGGCAGTTAACACTCGGCAAAAGAGGTGGCATGTTTTTAAACCTTTACAGACGGGCAAAAATGTATGGCACCATGTTATGTTCACCTGGCAACGCGAAAAGGGGATTGTTCTCTACATAAATGGAAAGAAAAGGTAAGGCTTGCATCACTTGTGCAAAGAAAGAAATTCATTTCTGCATGGTGGACTCGAACTACTGTCAGATTTAAAATAATGCGTCATTTAAGTCAATTATAGGCTAACAGAGGAATTAAAAAGAACTTTTTTTGTCTTTGTTTTTAGCTCTTCTTTGTACTATGGGGTTTCTTCCTCTCACTCTAAAAGTAGCAGTTCATTTATTGTGGGAAGCAAGTCCACTCAACCTTTATCTGGTGGTTTTCGGATGCGTTCACTGGCAGTTTGGAGAAGGCCGTTGACGTCTCAAGAAGTAAATCGTATTTATCTGGCCGGTAAGAATATGTTTTTGCGGTTTAGATAAAAGGATACAGTTAAACCTTTAGTAGGCAGACCCAGTGAAAAGTCCCGATCTATTCTGTTATAATGAAGTGGACAACAAACCTTTATCCAGGGGTTACCTCTATCACTACAAGTAATTGAACAAGAAATTTGTAAATAAACAAATACTCTGATGAATTAAAGGCATGTTGCGTCCTTATAGAGCATTTTTTTTTTTTGGCGGAGAGATAGTTTAAAACATATTTTGCGTCTTTTCCACAGAGTTTGGCTCCTGTAGGGTTGGTTGGAAAGACTTTGGGCAGTACTGTTACCAGTTCAATTTGAACAAGAAATCGTGGCCTTCTGCACAAATATCCTGTGTGAACCAGCAAGCAGAACTGGTCAGCATTCACTCACCCGTCGAGCAGGCCCATATATCTCTGGAGACAGGACCTCACGGACTAGACTCACCGGCGTGGATTGGTAAAAGAAAAATATCTTTTTTACAAATCAAATCAAATTTGGTGATTTTGACTGTAGAGTTTGAACAAATTGTCTGTCATTCAGCTCCATTTCTCTCTTACTATTTGATTTCTGCAGTTCTCAACACCGGGAAAGAGTTCCTCTGTCAATTCTTACGTTTAAATTATCATCTCCGTCGTGAAAATTTCAACTTTGTGAATCTTTATTCCCTATTTCGTTTATATAGCGTACTTCTCCTTCAGTCCTCTTTAACCGCTACAGCTTCTTTTTAAGTGGCCCTAATCCTCTTACGCTTAATACTCATAGGGATGCATGATCAGGGAGTGGAAAGTGAGTTCCAGTGGTCTGATGGGTCAGCAGTTCAATTCACCTACTGGGATGGCTGGCAACCTGATAACTGGCGAGACTCAGAAGATTGTGCCAATGTCAGAAATGTGAACGATGGCCGCTGGAATGATCAGAGCTGTTATAACAGTTTGCCATATATCTGTAAGAAGCCAAAAGGTGTGTTTCAGAATCGAAGAGGATTTTCAAGGACGAACTTGGTTTGTTGCTAATGCACGAGTAATTCAGTATCTTGTGTTAGATCACCACCACAAACAAACCATGAATATGTCGATGAATGGACGTTTCTAACGTGTTGGTATTCTTGTAGAGAAACGTTTTGAAGTGAGACAGGTTTTTTTTAATGCAACTGCTCGTAACGTATAGTCCCTAAATCTTTAACACATTTTGTTTCCTAGAGTATATCTCACCTCATGGAATCATTGCAACATCGAGTAAGTAATTCGATATGGATCTGAGGCTTTGCTTTCATTTTATAAGTAACTGATAAATTTAGAAATCTCCAAACCAACTAATTTTTTTTCAGCTCCTAAGAAACTTTTCGTTTGTGAAAGTACATCTGCAGTTCTTAGTTGCCCAACATCTACAGTTTTGTCGATCAAATCTGCCACATGGGGACGCACTAATACGACCAGATGTTTTCAAGTGAGCGTTAAACCTTGCAAGCTGAATGTTACCGCAAACTTAAATGCTAAATGTGGAGGCAAAAACCACTGTTCGTTAAAAGCCACCAATTCAGTACTTGGTGCTGACCCATGTGGAGGGGGAATTGCTAAGTATTTAGAAATTGACTACATGTGCCTGAAAGGTATGTAACACCCATAGCACATCATACGATAAATTTGATATTTACCTTGATACAGTAACACGAACGAGTTAAACCTTGTTAGAACGTATTTTTCTTTCTACTCATCATTTTTAAATCACACTTTGAAGAAATTTAGTATTTTAAATATTGAAAGAATGATGCTCAAATATCCAGATGTGAAGTTTTTGGCGGTAGTTACTGACTCCCTTAGAGCAATATTAACAATGAGTAAATACATTTGAACACAAGGAATACTTGAACGTTACCTATAACCGAAAAGATTTACACATCCTTCAAAGGTTGAAACCCAATTCTACTCCGTTGACCGTAAAAATGCCATCCATCTTCGGTAGTCTACTACTGCCCTGTAGGGAGAAGATGCGACGTACATTAGAGTTCCGTTCATGACGCTTACTCGGAGTTCTGCTGAGTATCTCGTACCCGCTTGGTGTGAGATCGATTTTGAAGACTTTTGCATCAGCTATAGCGGTTTTACACCAGATGTCTTCAGCCCCGTCGTGATCATTAGCATCCTCTTTGTCCTTTAGAGATGCTTTAGACACATTAAAGTAACTCGAACTAACAAAAACCGAGTGGAAGTCTCTGGAGGTGGGGGCTTTCAGCAATACGAGCATGGATTTGTTTCCCTGCCTAGGTCGTTGTATCCTCAAAGGCCACTGAAATTTCACTTGAAGTGCACAATTAACTCATTTTCTGAAAGCTTAAAGAGATTACTAGAAAAATAAGTAAACTCTACTAAAGTGTTAAAACATGTAGTCTGGGAAAATTTCCATACTTATTTGGGGAAACAAAATAAGTAGACAATATCTCGTGTTAAATCCGCTTTCTTACTACCAAAAATTTGGGTTATCCCTCAGAAAATTAGAATAATTTGTCATTTTAATCTCCCAAAACAGGTCCTGAAAATTCTCCGCTCTGTAAAGGTGGCTGGCATCTTAGCCCTGATGGCTCTCGCTGCATCAGGGTGATCTTTGATCGCAAAACTTGGCAGGATGCGAGAAGCACGTGTAAAACTTATGGAGGTGACCTAGTCAGTTTCCACAGCAGGTATTCTATGATTAACTATTAATAGTCCATAAACGTATATTCTTATCATTGAAGGAACACTTTTGCATAACCTCGATTCTGTGAAGGAAGGTGCCTTGTGTTGCTTTTGCGCTACTAGAAACTTAGGACTAGGGCTTAAGTTCGTCTTCCAAAGCGTGACAATCCTCAATCCTTGTTTGATCTATTCAACATCTTTTGGTATTTTTCTACCTTGGGAAACTGCTATTCTAAGAATCATTTTTTTCCGACGCAAATAAACCAATTTTTTCTTTCGCAAGAACACTTGTGTGGCACAAGGTTAGTCGCTTGTTAGTTCCGAGAAGAATTCCAAACCAATGTCTTTTTGTGTTTGCAGCGCAGAGAATATCTTGGTGACTTCTCTGTTGGTGGACTCCTGGAACATTGGAGAGGTGGGAGGATTATGGACGGGTCTCACAGATGCCGGTCAGAAAGGCGTGTACTACTGGTCTGATGGGTCCAAGCTGGACTACACCAATTGGCTTAACACTCAACCAGATGAGAGGATTTTGGAGGGAAGTTGCGTTCAAGCCACCTTGCAACCCGGTCGTATGAGCTATTTGTTCTGGCAGGATGTGGACTGTAACAGCACACTTTATTTTGCCTGTGCAAAACCTCCAAGTAAGTATTTGTCTGCGTTCGATCAAGGCCAAAGCATTTCATAACTTTCTTTACATTTCCATGGGACTTTCGGCCAGAACTAGATTATACAATTTTAGAAATTACCACTAAGATTTCGCTTATTTAAAATCTTGTTTTTACATTAAATTCTTAATTCCCATTGACGTTGTTTGGGAATACCTTCCATTGTTCCACGCAAACGAGTTTTGCGAATCTTAAAAAAAGTGCTTTAATGTCGTAGCTTGTGTAGAACCCTTTCAGGTATTTGGTTCTTTTTTTGACGAAAATGGAAAACAACGAGTTATAACGTTGAGGTGTCAGTGGTTCTCTCTGCTGAATACAATTACTTAATTATCAAGGAAATAGAAACATCGAAGAAGAAAAAGACATAAAAATGGATCTCAAAGAATTCTCTTCAGTAGTTTACAGGATTAAAAAATTAATAGTGTTTTGATAGTACATGATAAGAACATTTATGTGTAATTTTTTGTGTCTGTTCATTAATCTCTTTGTTTCAAATACTCTGCGTTTAATTTTAACAGATAGGCAGGTGCTACCCACCAACCTCGTTCCTTCAGGTACGTTTCCGGTTTTGTCTTGTTGATGTGCGAGTCGTAAATAGTACAGTATATGGAGTCTTAGTTCATCATCCAGGTACAGGCCCTATTTCATGGAGTTTAACTAAACTGACCAAGTAACCGCTTAGGGAAATTTGAAGCTGCACTTTCTCCTTGCTAAATTCATGGATTGCTATTTTTTCGCCAAAGCTTAACTTCAAAGGAGTCGTAGTGATGTATCATGTAAGCCTGCTTAAATTGTGTCTTTATCATAAGAGAGAGTTTGTCCAATTCATCATTTCTAATGAATTCGTCATTTCTAAACTGTTCTAATCATGCCCATCATTAACAATCCTCGTGTATTGTTTATTCACATAGTCTTTGCGTTTGTTGAAGAGTGTTATGTTTAGTATTTCCTTGTTTTGAAACTTCGGTTCGTTTCGTTACCATCATTGGTTTGTATTTGATCTCGTTTTCTTTTTTTTTTCATACAGGACAAAGTCTGACGCGCACGGCAACTCCTACTTCTACGGGTAACACGTTTTCTTCGGTCGTTAAGATAAGAATTTTTTGTTTGTTGTTTGCTTGTCTTTTCGAGTTTCTTTACTTAATCCAAGTTATCTTAGTTTTGTAAGAGTCCACGGTAAATCTATCGGTTATTGCAAAACAAGCAGTTCAAAGTAGGCGAAGTTAACAGCCCTTTTAATTGTTTTCAGTTTTTAACTACTTGTGTCCATCTGGATGGATGACAAATGGCTCATTCTGTTACAAGTTGATGTCGCAGAGGTAAGAACCAACGTAAGATCGGTACCGGGGCAGCAAGTAGTAGATTGTCCGATTTTAATTGTAACCGATGTTATTCCTATATTGTAGCGTGATGTATTCCAAGTAAGCTCGAAGACCTAAGTTATGGTTCAGCCATAAACTGGGTAGATGTCAGATTTCAAAAGAACCTAAGGTGCCAAGATAAAATCAAGTGATTATCGAAAGAAAAACCCTGTTTTTCAAATCCGTTATGCTGATCTCCCTTTCTTATCATCACAGCAAAACGTGGACTGATGCAAGAGACACCTGTAGATCATTCACTGCAAACTCAGATTTAGTCAGCATTCACAGTGTAGCGGAGAATGAATTTGTGGCCAGTCTGTTCAGTGGCTTACTGTATGCAGCTTGGATTGGACTGAGCGACCGTGGTGTGTTATATGGTAGGTTCTCTATTTTGACTTTTCAAGCAATCGTCTTTTTCAATATGGGTCTTAAAAACGCGGTCTTCAAGACAGGGGCCGTTTACTTTTGAAGCGGGATTTGGCCACAGTATCTCGGCTTCGATTGGTTCCCTCACACTAGGATAAACCATTCGCTCAGCTAAGTAAACTTTTCTTCTAAATTGAAGCACTAGAAGGTTACGTTGCGGGAGCTCAGTGATAATGGGAAATCTAGAAAGACCTTTGTATTTCCATCGATCGATCGACAAACACTGGAAATTTTTTCAATTTACGGTCGGGATGATGGGGCGAATTTCCTGGACTTCTTTTGATAAACTGCCTCCCGCGAGCAATGCGGGGACTTTTATTTGAACGTTTTTCCTTGGTCTGTAGGCTACGTTTGGAGCGACGAAACGCCTGTGCAGTTCACAAAATGGAACGTGCAGCAACCGGACAGTCATCAAGGACAACAGCCATGTGTGGAGATGTATTCTACCGGAGAATGGGGGGACACTGGATGCTACTCTGTAAAGCAGTTCATCTGCAAGATGCCACGATGTAAGTGCATTATTCAAAGTTATTTACAGAGTAGTTGTTTCTCGCAAAGATCAATTTGATGCTTTTATACAATTCAGGCTTGAGAAGTGGAACTGCTTTGAATACTTTTAATTTCTTTATATATATATACTGTTCGATTTGATTAACTTTTAGGTATCGATTTATAAATAGACGTTGTCACGATGCTAACAGCAGGTCCATAGTTTTTACGTTTATATTTATTTTATTTCAACTATAATTACATTTGAAAGAAGACAAGAAGTTTCAGAGTTACATTAGTTGGCGTGGTTAATTGCAAAAGACTGCTTTCACTGGTGCACAGATAAAATGAGCCTTGTCGCTAAATTTCTTGCGGCATGAATACTTCCCTTAAATTGAAGGCGACAATAGTTTATCCAATAAATATTCAATTATTATCCATGAGGGAATGTTGATAACCAAGGATGGGGAATCATTAGCAAATCGTAAACATTTTGCGTCGATCATTGATTTTCTGTCGTACGTTTATTCATGAGCTTTTTCGACTTTTTTGCTCCGATCGTTTGCTTTCTTTATCTCTTAATTTCTTTCGTTATAGTTTCAATTTCTTAATTTCTAATTTTTTTGCAGTGGTTGTTGTTTTGTTGTGTTTTTTTTTTTATAACATTTTTGTGATTTGAAAAACTGAGGTGAAAATTGGCCACATACGCCTGGTAAATGTTTCAATCCATGACACTTTGATGTTTTATCAACAGCGAATAATAAACCGTCAGCAACAGTCACTCCGACCACACCTGTTCACCAAAGTGAGTTCTTAAGTTTACTGTGGTTCATATGAGGAGTTTACATCGTGGTTAAGTCTAAAATCCAGTTCCTTTAGCACAAAGTGACTAAGAAAATTGCTACCTCTCCTGGACTAGTTCAGTGTGGGTACCTTTCCCCACATCCCCCCCCCCCCCACCAGCACCCCCTAGCATTTCGCCAGAATATCTTGAAAAACCAATAAAAACAGGTGCGCAAGCCTACATGTGTCTACGGCTAAGGTGATGGGAACACCCGTTTATACTCGTCGTTAGAAAGAAAGGGGCATGGTAAGACTAATGTCTTTCTCAAGAACACCACACAATGACCTGCCAAGGGCCCAAAGCTGGCCCTTCGACGCGGAGTCCGTAAGCCTTGTGAACTCCATGTTACCACTTTTCCAACTAAATGTGTTTATTTACCTCGATTTCCGAAAGGAGAAAGTTGTTTGAAGTTGTAACAAGGTATTCCTCTTTTAACAGCCTCAGGCATTTGCCCTAACAATACGATTTTGTGGAATACAATGTGCTACTATTTCGCAAATGACTCCCAGTCAAGCCGACTCACGTGGCGTGCCGCTCGACAGGCGTGTCAAAAAGAACTGGGAGGAGACCTTGTTAGTATTTTAAGTGCTGCGGAGAATAACTTCATAAAATCTCAAATCTCAGGGTAAGTTTCCTTTGAATTATTTTCAGAAGTTTTTGCAAATTATGAGGTAAACCTAAAATGCTGGATTCAAGGACGTGTTCGATATTTTGCAATGTTCTTAGGGTATTCAAAGTAAATTCAAATTTATGACAGTCAAAATCTCGAGCCCTGTTACTCAATTTTCACCCACAAGCAAGCTCTATCGTTTAATCAAACTTGAAAGCTGTCACTTGATCCATTTGTTACCTGCTCTATGGTTGTATTATTGAAAGAAAAAAATTACATCAAGGCCGCGTAAGAGAGGTGTTCCCTAAGGAGAGGGTCAATCATAGCAAGTTTACCGACAGAGTTTAGTTTAATGGTCGTCTAGAAGAAAAGATGGCTGGCAATGTTTTGTAGCTCAGGTAAATTACACTGAATTTCTCCGCAAAAAGATACAACGCTTAGACTCCTTCACCATTTCACTCAAAAAATTAATTGTCCTGACAATATCCATATATTTTCGCGCAGAAAGGTGATGAGAAGTTAGAAAAATATCATCCATGGTCATTCAAGGAATATCCGATTTCACTCCAAATTCTCAGACTTTTACTCAGGAGAAATGAATATCTTTAGAGTGAAAGGGTTGGTCTCACTCCTCTTGTATGCGCACGCACTTTATGGGTGTATTTTTTTCATTTAAAAGGCACAGTAGTAACGCTCTTTGGATTGGACTCAATGATCTCGGAACAGAAAGCAGCTACCAGTGGAGCGACGGTTCGCCAGTAGTTTATACAAACTATGGATGGAAAGAACCAAATGATTATTACGGCCAGGAAGACTGTTTGGAAATTGTAAAGCCTGGTTATTGGAATGACCATCATTGCAGTGTCCTGCGGTCGTACATCTGCAAAACGACAAATAGTGAGTTTCCTAGTTGTCATAAGTTGTCACTGTATGGTGGACTTGGACATAAGATAGAAAATTTAAGTAGAATTTGCAAGTGATTCCTCTCATGGACAACTCATAGATAATTTGTTGGTCAGCTTAAAAGTCCCTCGATTGAATAAAAAGGATAGAATGAAACTAAAAGTCGACTGGATTATTCTTTTTAGGGCCAACTTTGAAACAGTACTTCCTTGCACTAAGGAATTTATAAAGTTTATAAGCTAGATCACAAACGCACGTCGGAATGAAAATGTTCTTGGTTGTGATTTGTGAAAATCAGAATTCCTGACTTGTTTTAGCTTTTTATGTTTTTGTTTTTGTGTACATTTTTTTTTCATTAATTCTGACGCATATGTTTTTTTGGATCTTCGATTTCGCTTATTTTGAGCTTGTTGAACGGTTGCATTTGCTGTTTGTTGTTCTTCTTGATGGTTTTGTCGATATGGCTGACAGATGATCATGATTTGCGACCAGAATTCTGTTTATGACACTCATCTTGTTTACACGTGCATCGAGGAAAAGATTGGGAACATTACAATATTCCCAATGTGTGTCCAAACGATCTCAATTGAAATCGTACACTTACCATATGCTAATCATATGTTTTTTTTTCTTTCAGATTCCAGAATACAAGCTTTGACTACGTCCCCTCCTGACCAATCGCGTCCTGGCCGATGTAAGTATTTCTGACAACAGTTACTGCTGCCATGTATTTTTTCTCTTTGTAAGTATTGTTACTTCGCTATTGCATGCGTCAAGTCGCTTGGTTACTAAGTTTTGGAGTGCACGCGTCGGTAAATCCGAAAAGAACGAGATTTTATCGTTTCCTGGCCATCTCACTTTTTGGTCAATGAAAGATTCCTACAAATCTTCCGGTCCTTCTCCAGAGGTCAAGTCGACAGATTCCGAGGCGTGAGGAAAATTACGTGTTGTAAGGATGCATATCGCAGTAGAAAGAGGTACCCTAACTGATTTTAATTTTCTGTGATAAAGCACATGGCAGATGTAAAGACGGCTGGGTAAACTATGACAAGCGCTGCTACCGCATTGTGTCAGATCCTCAGCTATCCTGGGAGAACGCAAGAGATGTATGTCGGAAGGGACTTAATGCCAATGTGAACGGAGACCTTGTTACTGTGAATGATCAGTAAGTACACTTGTGTTAAGTTAATGACCAAATTTCAATTGATTTCGTGGAAAAAAACACAAACAAAAGTGGACACTTCGTTAAATGTTGAACCTTTAAGTGAAGCTACAGCAGATCGAAACTGTACCTATTTCATGTTGCAGATACGAACAGGCATTTTTGACAACTATGCTTCTGGGAAAGAACGACAATTTCTGGATTGGCTTTAATGACAAGCATGTGGAAGGCAGCTTCTTTTGGACAGATAATAGTCCTCGTAAATACACCAACTGGAATGTCAATGAGCCAACGGGCTACGGCTGGAACAAGGATTGCGTCGACATGACGTCCAGTGGAGAGGCAGGAAGATGGGGAACTGCGCAGTGTGACCAGAAAAAAGGGTTCATCTGTGAGACAGGTTTGTAATACATCAAAAACTTGATCCATTTTGGATAAGAAACTAAAGAAGATGGAAGATTGTTGACTGAAAATGTTTAAACAAAAGTTTTATCATTTTCGGCCCAATGGTTCTATCTTTCAACTCCTTTACTCCAAAAATGAAGTTCTCCTTTAAAGATTAAAGCATTTGAAGCAAAAACGTGATAGTAAGAAAGATAGGTATCGATGTAGCACTAAATTCTTAGGGTTGTTTGATACACAAAGAGAATTTAACTGGTATATAGATATCAAAAAATGTGGACATGTGTATTTGTAGTTGGTTTTGGAAATGTTTCACATGCAATGAAAAGTCTTAGCCCACATGCTCTCAGCACCATGTAAACCACTAAGATCAGCCATGGGTTTTTAGGAAGGGAAGAATGGTGAGTTAAGGTCTCGGGAAATGATGATCCTAAAGGAATTCTGGTTGTGTTAGTTACCTCCTTTGCTCATATGTGCTGATTTAGATTCTCTTTTTCCGCAGGAGCTGATCAAATCTCAGCGAATGGTGAGCTTGCTAACAACGATTTTTTTTAATCGTATGGGCGGACAATTTTGATAACAAAATACTTTGGCCATTTGGGAATAATGGCGGAAACAGCCTTAATCGCAGTATTTTTCAAAGTTCCCTATCACCCCCACCAGCGGCAAATTCGAATGACGCAGTTAAACTCTCTTTCTCTCTCTTAAATTGAAAAAATTCCGTTCGCTTCAGTGATCTGTTGGAAATTGAATCCTGAAAATTATTATTGAAAACGAACTTGAAAATCAAATGATTAAAAAAATAAAAATAGTGAAAAAATATGAAGAAAATTGCACTCTATTTATCTTAGCCTCCAGCTTTGGCAAAGACTTGACCTACTTGCCCCTGAAAATTTACGATAGTTTGCTCAACCTCTTTAAATGATAAGGAATATTGAAACAGTTCAAAACAGGTAGGTTATGTTGTAAGTGCGGAAACATCGGAATAATAGAGAAATCGATCGTCTTAAAAGCGAACGTTGACCAGACCTGGTTTTGTAGCCCACTCACCAGTGTCTAGTGAATGGGCATCGGTTCTAAGTAGACTGCATTCTTACTGGAACACAAATAGTTTTTAGCTGTAGAGATTTTCATGTAATTAATGATTGATTTTTTTTCCGCTCCAGCTCCACCCGGTAACACGTCTTGTCCTCCAGGGTATCTTCCCTTTGGTAGCGACTGTTTTAATGTGTCTTACGTCCCGATGAGCTGGAAGGAAGCTCTTAAATTCTGCCAAGACAGGATGAATGGTAGCGATTTGATGAGCGTTCACAATTCGTTTGAACAGGGTAAAGTATACAAAGAAACCAAAACCCAAGTTCATTCTCAGATGTCCCTACGATCACAGAGCTTTTAAGTGTTCATGGCGAAGTTGTCACGAAAGTGGACATAAGGCATTGAAATTCTAAGCAGTATGATAATAACTACACTTAAGAAGCTACAACGTTTTCACACTTATCTTCAAAGACAGTAGTTAGTAACAGTTTTCTTCCTGAGTTGCTAACATTTCCCACTTAGGGTGTACCTCGCAAAATTGATTAGCAGACGCAATTGCAAAGTGGCTTTCGCTCTTGTGTGTTTCGTGCGCAAAGTGATTGTGGGATACTGAGAGATAAATTAAACGTACAAATATCAAGCCTCGTCACACTTTTCCCTTTCAGCATTTGTCGTCATGAATTTAAAAGATTTCCAAGGACGCTTTTGGCTTGGTCTCTCTCGTGAAGCTAATTCTAAAGACTTCCAATGGAGTGACCTTTCAATGAAAACCTATACAAACTGGGCTGCGAAGCAACCAGATGCCCCATATGGCCAGAAAACGTGCGTTGTCGCTAGTAATTCAGATGCTAATGCTGGAGGTTGGAGTGACGTCAATTGCTCGGAAAAAAATGGATTTATCTGTAGATTACGAAGGGGTAAGATTACTAGAATTAATCTCATTAATACAGACTTTTCATACGGGCTCAAAACTTACCATCTCTCTCATTCAATCTACAAACATGACGCTATCGACATTGCTAATCCTAGCAGTATGCAGGACGCGTGTTATATGAACTTCGTAATAGACTTCGCTCACCGTAGAGTCTCTGTGGCTCAGTGGTAGAGCATCGGAGCGCGGAATCAGAAGGTCTGAGGTTCGATTCTTCACGCGGACTCAGCATTTTTTCTTTATCTCACGCTCACGAAAAGACGAAAAACATCTTTCTCTGTGGAATCTATTTGTTGAGCCGAAGTAAGGCAAAAATTTTGCTCCGAACATCGTTTTCTTGCGGTGACTAAAGGTTTACTTCTGGCGACCATTTTATGAATTCAGATCGCAAAATGGCGACTTCGAATAACACTTAGGTTTCCTCTCTATTTCATGATTCTAAAATCTATGTGACTGTCAACTATTGATTGCGTTACTTTTCAAATTGTTACTTGCAGGCGAACCGCATGTGTCACCTCCATGTAAGTATTTCATAGTTAGTGTTTTATCTAAAACCTTTTACCCTAAGAGTGACTAGTATCCAACTTCTCCGTACAGTATCACTCCTGAATCACAGAATGAAGTCACAAGAATTAAGGAAATGATCAGCAACTAAGGAAGCTCGTGATTGTTAAACAAAGTCTCCTTGTTAGGACATTGGCAATGTCTAGAGAGGAGTATGGAGAATATCTATGCGGATATTAAGGTGTAATACATTAACAGTGGGGCGTAATACAATACAGTAGATGTACCTCTAACGAGCGGTGACTTTAAGGAAACATCTTGTCAGATTATGTTTATGAAATTAGCGGGTATCAACCCGATATTATCGAACAATACAATATCTACATATTTGGCTTGATACATTCGTTGGTGAGAGGACTGCACCAGTATGATGGGATGGTCATAGATTCAGATCCTGTTCAAGTCCAAATTTTTTTCCAACCATTATTCATTTTCGTGGCTAATTAAGTTGTGTGTATAACAGCGATGTTTTTCTCCCATTAATCTACCAACAATCAGCGTCAAAAATGTTGAAATATTACTATAGAGATCGAAATAATTTCAAATAATATATTTATTCTATCCGCAATATCCTAACTATCTTTTTCTCTCTTTTTTTGTGCAATTTGGAATTTTGTACTCTGTGGAGTAAATGTTACGAGGTGCATTTCATTTTAGAAATTTCTTCCCTTAAGAGTCCTTACTAAAGTTAATTTTCGCGACGATTTATATAAAACACAACTTTCAAGGGGAATCTTAGTGATTCAAGGCTCACGGTCGGAGAAGACGAGTACAAGAGCGAACGTATAAAAAAATTTGCCCAGCCCTCTCTCTCTCGTCTTTTTTCGCTCGTTTCCACCAACTGTTACCCCTGGCGAAGGCTTTATCACCCGGGGCGATCTAAGCATTCAAAAGAGGCCGAAACTGGCATATTTGGCGTTGTTTGGATTTTTTTCCAGTGGGTGTGGGGGGCACTTTTTTTGAGAAATAGGTAAGGCATTTGCTCTGTTAGCCCCTTGTGTATGTAGGCCTGTGTACTCTATATTTCTCATATTAGATTTCTCTTGATATTCTAAAGATTTTTTGTCATGGAGACTACCTCCTTTTTTCTCATCGGTTGTTCTTCGCATGGGCATTAAAGTCCCTTGGTAAGAAAATGCAAATAAAGTTAATCGAATTATTTCGATTTTGTTTCAAGTGCTCGGAAGCTGCCCCACTGGATGGGAGAAATTTGACAAGCACTGTTACCTTTTCCGAGACAGTGACTTGCAGCCATGGGCAGCTGCAAGATTCAAGTGTTTAAATCAGGGTGGAAATCTTGTGAGCATTACATCAGAGCAGGAGCAAGACTTCATTACTTTCCACTATCGACGGATTTCTGCTGGAAAAATCTGGATTGGTAAATATTCATCTATTGACACCACGCTAAAAAAAAGTGTAATTATACGTTCGCGCAACTTTTAAAATATATTTTTTAGCCGGCTTACTCAGCGCATTGTTTACTTAGGATTGTGATACACTTGAGACTACACGATTATGAATCGTGTGGTCTCGACCGTTTCTGAAAAAAATTGTTAGAATTCCTTTTGTTTTTAAAAAAGAAGTTGTGGACGATTCATTTAGCCCGAGAGTCCTGGTAAACAGAATCTCATTTAGTTGGAAGCCTTCTATAACCCACTCATTGAGTTTTATCACTGTTCAGGTTTGAATGATTGGTCGCTGGAGAGAGGATTCACATGGAGTGATGGTAGCCCTGTGACGTATCTTAACTGGTTACCCGGTGAGCCAAATGACAAGACTGGTATGGAGAATTGTATTGAAATGTGGCCACCTAGTAGAGGATGGAATGACCAGTCATGTGCTGATAGACGGGGCTACATCTGCAAACAGCCTCTAGGTATATAATCTCGGTATTTTTTCTTCTCTTTTCTTGGTAGTTTCATTAAGCTTGATGCTCTCTGATGCGGTTTCATACATGAAATCAATCAAAAGTATCTCTTTTCCCCGTTCGGTGCGGGGAAATAAACACTCTTTCTTTCCCCCCTACGTTCCTGTCATGCTTCCATTATTAGAAATTAAGCATTGATTTTACCCCAGGGACTTCTAGACGCCTCCCCACCCCACGGCCTAATTTATGTCAAGAAAGAAACGCAGCTGTTATCTCAACCCCCGTTTAGTTCCATGAAATAGCTTGCTGGGTGACCAACTCCTCAGCGGTCAACTAATTGCTTCCGTGAATGTAGCGCTATGTTCCTCTTTTTGAAAACGCTCTCTGTTGTCTGTTCTTGTACTATGTGCCTGTCGTTAACAATGCAACCCGCGCTGATGTCGGTTGCTTTACGAACAATTTCCATGCACAAAATTAATAGCCGTTGCGATTCAGATTAATCCCATTTCTACTGGGGTTAAAGTGATCACAGAGTTAGATTGAGAGGCGAGTCCACGCCTGCAGCAAGTGGCAAGAATTGAACTATTAAAGTCTACCTCCTAGCTGTTTGGAAAAAGTCTAAAAAAGGTCTCATTTCTTGTTATTTAAAGATACTTTTTCAACATTAAGATTTAGAAGATACATAAAGGAAATCATGTTTAAACTTGATCGTCCCAAATCTACCTTTAATTTCCCTCTAGAATGTTCTGCAGCTCTAGGCATGAGTATTGGTGCCATCAGCAAAAGCCAGATCACGGCTAGTTCTATGTTGGCATCATATGGTCCGGACATGGCCCGGCTAAACTCTATGTCAGCTTGGTGCGCCAAGGCACAATCTGGGCAGTACATCCAGGTGAGATGCGTGTTTTTTAAAACATGGTGTTTGAAATGGTTTTAAAAAATATGATTGAAATTAAAAGTGGAGACGCTAATTGCCAAAAACCACCATGGGCACAGAGACACTGTAGCTTCGGGCCAGGAATTGAAAGTCTGAGAAAATGAATTTCAAGGTCGTGAAATTTTAGTATGGGTCAGTGAAAACTTAATAGGTGATAATAAGTCGGGGAAATCAACATCGTAGCACTATTACTCTTTCATTTTCCCAAATTTCAGCTTTTCAGTTAAACCCATCAGTGGCCCCTCGGGGTTCCACAGTAGTTATCGAAATTTTTGACGCTATTGTCAACATTAAGAGTTTAAAATGGAAAATTGTGATCATTTTCTTTTGCAAGAGCAAGGAAACCGTACGATGTAAACAGAGCTTAAAGACGTCCAGACTTCGCAAACATATCTGTGATAACTATTTTTTCTTTCAGATTGATCTGCTTACTGAAACCCGCCTCAACAAAATTGCTCTTCAAGGCTTCACTCTCAATGGAATACCCAGCTTTATAAGGACGTTTACACTACAAACAAGCGAGGATGGTGTAAATTATGAGACATACCAAAGGAATGGTCGAGATGTGGTGAGGTTTTACCATACCTATTGATTCTTCTATTTGTCTGGCGCCAAGCAAGTGAAGAAGATGATTCTTCTATTTGTCTGGTGCCAAGCAAGCGAAGAAGATAATTCTTCTATTTGTCTGGTGCCAAGCAAGTGAAGAAGATGATTCTTCCATTTGTTTAGTGCCAAGCACTTGAAGAATATGATTTTTCTATTTGTCTGGTGCCAAGCAAGCGAAGAAGATAATTCTTCTATTTGTCTGGTGCCAAGCAAGTGAAGAAGATGATTCTTCTATTGGTCTGGTGCCAGGCAAGCGAAGAAGATAATTCTTCTATTTGTCTGGTGCCAAGCAAGTGAAGAAGATGATTCTTCCATTTGTTTGGTGCCAAGCACGTGAAGAATATGATTTTTCTATTTGTCTGGTGCCACGCAAGTGAAGAAGATGTAGTAGACCTAGTAGCTCCAGAGAACCAAGGGATTTTTGGCTCCAGGGACAAAAATTATTTTAAAAACGGAAGGACATGTTTTATCATATTCTTTTCTGACGAGAAGTGTGATTGATGAAAAGCCAAGATCTACCCGCATTGTTTTGACCAGAATCGTAAGAAACTCAATAACGTAAGCAACGCATTGGAAGGGTAATGCAGAGAATATTTTATCTTTTTATGTGATCTTTGTCAAACACGTGTAATGTTCATAGGATTTTTATTGAAGACGTAGTAATATTTACTCGCGCGAACTAGCTGTTAACTGGATGACCGATAATTTTTTGCCCTGTAGGTGTTTCCTGCAAACCACGACGCCAATTCTGTGGTCACTAAATCTGTTAAACCAACAGTTAATACACGCTTGATAAGAATAGTACCAAGCTCTTGGACCGGCTCTTTGTGTATGCGGATGGAACTTTATGGCTGCCCGATTGGTATGAGCTGATATGATAGGTTTTTACTCAGTAAGGACCCAGATTCTTACTTGAATCAAACATTAGTAGCGGAATAAGAAGTGGTGAAATAGTTCTAAACGGCAAAGAAGAATAAGAAAGCAACTAGAGTAGGAAGGCTTAAAAAACATGCAAAGAAACAAACAAGCGAATAAATAAGCCAATCTTTGCGAAGAAAAACAATAGAATAAGGTAATATTCTTGTTTCCAAATTTATTCACACATCCCTTACTATTTATATATTTGCAGCTTGTCAAACCCCTCTTGGGATGCAGTCTGGGTCCCTCAATGATACATCTCTTTCAGCTTCATCGACGAAAGACAGCTCCCATAAGGCTGCCAACGCTCGCCCGTTTCGTGCAGTTGGGTGGTGCGCAAAGGTAATGTCATTCATTCTTTCCCTTCTCTACACTTCTCCCAGAATTTGATGTGAGCCTTTTTCTGCAAGGCTACACAAGGCCTTATTCAGCCAAGTCTCGCTTACTTGATCCAGTGGATACTTCATATCATTATGTGCTTTTTGAATTATCGTGAGGCTGCTCATCCAAAGCGTGGTTAAGTTGTGTCCTTCTGATATGCGAGAGAATCATGCGGTCTCTTGTTTTCTTCTTTAACTTAAATGCCTAAAACAAACAGCTGCAAATTTTGTTCAGTGTTTTAATTTACGCAGTTGGTTAGACTTATGGTGCAAATATAAGAAAATATGTAGTTCTGGGATTTTAGGCAACCAAAGTATGTTTATAACAAGTACTGGTACATTTTTTATGTGCATTTACCAGATCGTTTAGATACTCTTTCTTCGTTGGATCAAAGGGTTTGGCAACCGTCAATCGACGAAAGAGGGCTTTTAAATTGAATAACTTTATATAATGAAATTTAAGCAACTCAGTGAACCAATTAGAACTCAAGTCAAACACGGCTGAAAAGCGCCATGCACGGGGAAACGCCATATGGTTTGCGACTTATTTTTATTGGGAAGTGCTCGTAAGCTTCTTGGATAAAATACAGGGTGAAGTCGTTTATCTTCGTTATTTTTATAAAGTATTGACGAAAGAGAGTGGACATGTATATAACCTCGTCTGTATTTTCCTTTGCAGATTTTAGATAAACATCCTTGGTACCAGATTACTTTTCCAGGCTGGGAAAGGAAGATTACAAAAATAACCACGTGGGGAGGGGGCAGAGGGTCAGGGTTTGTCAGTGTGTACAGTCTAAAGTCCACACGTACGCTTGACGTAGACATCACTGTTTGGTCAGACTACCAGGAAGGCGGAAAAACCAGGGTCAGAGACTGATGTGACTTATGTTGTTAAAAATAAAAAACGGTAGTTATTGGTCAATGAAACTGCAAATGGTTGAATTAGTCTTTACAACAAATTTATAGAAAAAGAAACCAATTAGACTTAAAACTCTTCGATTTTCCGTTTTAAAGGTTTCGTTTTTGTGGTAAATTATTAGCTTAGAACTGTGAAATTTTATAACTAGTATAACATTTAACGTCAAAAACATTTTACGTGATTAATATTATGTCACTATGTTCTGGTATCACAGAATTTCCGAGGCAACCAAGACGCTGTTAATCCGGTGTCGCACCTCCTGGCAGAACCAATCATAGCGGATGCATTGCGCATAAAGCCGCTGGCCTGGTCGTCAATTGGTGCTTGTCTACGCCTTGAAGTCTTTGGATGTGATAAAGGTGAGTTTTCTTTCTTAAAATGACTTGTCTTTTTCAACGCAACTTTGATAATGATGGCTTGCTGAGCAGGAAATCCAAACCTTCGTTTAGTATAGAAGGTACTGACTTAATATCCCGTGAACAAACATGGGAAGTTACAAGCCTTATCAGTCCCTTAGAGACTTTCCTGTCATTAATCAAACTTTTTCTTGTTAACTAAACTGGGTGATGAGTCACTGCGAAGTTTCTCTGCGGCAAACCCTTCCGTCTTTATGATTATCTAACTAAGTCAGTGCGAATTCCATCAATTGAAATTTGCGACACTTCTCGTTACCTACAAGCGCGATGCTTTTCTAACGAAATAAAATTCCTGCCTCTCGAGTCAAATTGTCGCTGACCTGTCCCACGTCGTGTCGCATACAAATACTAGTCTACCCACCTCCCCTACCCAAAGGTCCTTTGTCACGTGCTTAGTCTGCCTGCTGGGTTTTTCTAATTGGTAGAGACACGGCTCGATCTTTCTTGTCAAACTTCTCTTATTTTCCAGGATGCAACTCTGCCCTCGGTTTAAGGCAGGGGATCATCAAAGACTCAGCTTTATCAGCGAGTTCATCATTAGACGAGGCCCACTTGGCTAATAAGGGTCGGTTAAATGGAAGTACTGGGTGGTGTGCATCTGATAATTATAGAGAGAGCTACTTTGAGGTAAGTAGTTTCCCCATAGTTATTGTTCACTGAAGTGGATATAGGTATCCATCACTTTCACCTGCACTGAGGAGAATAACTATTTAAGTTTATACCTCACAGAAACCTTTGGCTGGTCGGAGATCAATAGTACTTGCTAATTACTTACAAACCAGCCAGTTAGCGCACGCAAAAATACTATTCGCCTATGTGGTATATACTAATATGTGATGTCTCCCGGTAATTGTCAATTCACGTTCCAACGATTGTCTCTTTTTCGTCTCTGGAAAATGCTTCGTAGGAAGAAAAAATTTACCTCACCAGTTCTTATTTGTTGTCTCGTTTCTTCCCATTTCAAGGTTGACTTCGGAGTTGCGATGAAAGTAAGCACCTTAGCTATACAAGGCGCTGAAGATGGTAAGGGGTATATCAAAAGTTACATTGTGAATACGAAAGACTATGTTGATGGACCATGGACTCAATACAGGCAGAACGATAAGACTAAGGTGGGTAATGTGACGTAAGTGAGCGTCTTGATCTGAATTTTATACCATATCATTGATTTTTTGTGAAGGAATATGGAGTGTTCTGCAACCTCCGAAGTGTATCACACATAAAAAAACAGGATCATTGGATAATGTAGTTCAAGACTTTTTAATTGGCTTAACCATCATTGGTTATGAGCTATTATACCGTACGCGCACATGAAGACGAGTTCCACCGAAAGTGGTTTTGTACACTATATCATTGCGTTTTTTCTTACAAAATAAAGTTGAGAAGATGTATCTATATTTCGGGACGTTTTTTATAAAACGATTATCTCACTCGCCCTTGTTGGATATGAATGAGATGATTGTCAGCAACTCTACTGGCCTCGTTGGCCATCTATCATCTCATATCTAACGCGCGCTCGTAAAATGATTGTTAAATATCACAAGGCAAATAGTTATAGATATTGTACAGATTGTTCTTAGACACAAAAATGGAACTGTAAAGGCTAGATTACGATATTGGATCAACACCACACGCAAGAGAGAGGGTGCCTCTTTACCAGCGTCAGATACTTGCCTTTGCCATTCCTTTGCCATTCCATTGCCATTCTTTTGGTTGATGTTGTCAATTAAGACGGAAAGTTTACGTTACACAATATTTTAGGTCTTCTTGGCAAACGTGGATTTCTCATCAATAGTGAAGAACTCATTCCCTTCTGGTCTGCGGGGAAGGTATATCAGGATAAGGCCAAAGACATGGAGTGATCGACCGTGTCTCCGTTTAGAATTGTATGGCTGTAAGAGTGGTAGGTACACCTAATTAACTATAGATATCTCTTTGCCAATTACGATTACTATAAAGTTGCAAGCAAAATAGGCAATGGTAGATAAACTGTTCAAAATTCAAAATGATGATACACAAGGCGCAGTGGAGGAGCCAAACCATTTATACCGCCAAGTAAATCAATTGATTTGCAGATCTTCAGATTTTGATTTCTAAGGCTTCGACGCCACTCGGTTATTTTGTTCCCCACCAGTAGTTAGTGGCAACCAACGTCAAACTAAATATATTTACCTACGTGCAGATACGTCTGTGAGTAGCAAATATTTTTGCTCGTTTGTTACTTACTCTATGGGTCTTACTCCTCTTTCTAATCCCAGTACGGTACTTAGTTGAACTTTCTCCGTACCACCATGTGACTAAACAGTCTCCTGTCCCATGTCCCAAACGAGAGTTTGATGGGACAGCTATATTCAGGGGACTGAATTAAGGTGCTAGTACCCTTCAGATGGGATGAACAACTTTTAAAATCAAACTGGTGCTCTCGTGTAAGTAAAAACATGCAGTTACCGCGGAGACTTTCTGCCGTGTGCATCATTGTCGAGAGAAGCAGTTGCCTTATAGCTAACTTACTGAACACTCCGCGGTCTGGGTGGATCATTCTGTTGTGTTCTTTCGGCAAGGTCCTCTAGATACCTTTTTCCAACCATGAATATATCCGAGTACAAGTTAACTATCAAGGGGAAATATATGATGGAGGAAGGGCATAAATATCCTTCTTAGTTTTTGTCTCTTTATGCTACATCAACTGGGATGAGGTACGATTGGTATGCGGCTCAGTCTCAAGTAGACATTAACTTTAGTTCTCCACAATATCACCATCTTTGTTTCCACTAAATGCTACTGTTGATGTGGTTAGAGTTGATTTGCAGCGGTCTGTTTTGTTTGTTCACTTTCAGATTTGCAACCAACTATTATTCCATCAGTGAGTACAACACCATCAGCAGGTAAATACTCTCTTTATGTAGAGAATGTGCAAAGGATTGCAAAATTGATGTATGTTCTACAACGTTTTCAGAAGTTTTCGTAATACTTCGAAAGAAGTGAAAATCACCTTCGAAATCATATGGAGAATTAATATGCACACGCAACATCATTTTCAGAATCACTCGATGAGTCGTCGTTGGCACAAAACTTCCTGAATAGAATCATAAGTTAATGGGATATCAGGAGGAATTGTATTCGTTGCATTTGTCCTCCGATTTCTTTAAATCCTGTTAATTCACGGGTCAGATTTTTAGGATTAGTTAAAGGTTAGAACTGATGCGGACTTTCCAACATTTGTCTGTGAACTTACACCGCAGAGTCACTAAACTACCAGAAAATAAGACAAGTCAAACTTTCACTGTGCTGGTAATCTGAAGACTACAACGTTTACTTTTCAGTTCTAACGTATAGAGGCTCAGTAAAGTTCTCCAACAAGACATGGACCGATGACCTCCAGAATTCTGATAGCAAAGCATTCAAGACTCTCGCAAGGAAGATAGAAAAATCGGTACAAACTATTTTGGCCAGTTTTAATCCATTGCTTTCAATGTTCATATATTTAAGTCTAGACTACTATATTCTATTGTGTGCCACTTTGATAAATTCCTGTATGATAAATTGAGACGTCATTCCGATCGCCTTTTGCCCTCTTTATTTTTGTTAGATTGCTGACTTGTACAACGACGATAAGAACGATGAAGCATCAAAAGCCTTCTTGAATGTTACAATAACCGGATTCAGGTATATTGTGGCTTTCCACGAAACACGTGCGAAATAATTGAACAAAGTTCCGGCCACTTCTTTGTTTAGTTCTGGTATCATAGAATCTTGAATAGGATATTGAAATCTCTCTGTATTACTTAATTTCAAATTGTTCATTTTGAACCCTCGCGAAAGCCCCTGTAGCTGTAGGCCCGTCTAGCTGTAGGCCTATTTAGCTGTAGTCTCGTCTAGCAGTAGGCCGGTCTAGCTGTAGGACCCCTTAGCTGTAGGTCCCTGAAGCTGTAGGCCCATCTGGCTGTAGGCCCGTCTAGCTGTAGGCCCGTCTAAATGAAGGCCCGTCTAGCTGTAGGTCCCTCTAGCTGTTGGCCCTTCTAGCTGTTGGCCAGTCTGGCAGTAGGCTCCTCCAGCTGTAGGCCCCTCTAGCTGTTGGTCCGTCTAGCTGTAGGCCCTTCTAGCTGTAGGCCCGTCTAGCTTTAGGCCTGTCTAGCTGTAGGCCCGTCTAGCCGTAGCTCTCTCTATCTGTAGGCCCATCTAGGTGAAGGCCCGTCTAGCTTTAGGCCTTTCTAGCTGTAGGCTCCTCTAGCTGTTGACCCGTCTAGCCGTAAGATCCTCAAGCTGTAGGCCCGTCTAGCTCTTAGCCCCTCTTGCTGTTGGCCCGTCTAGCTGTAGGCTCTTCTAGCTGTAGGCTCCTTTTCTTGTAGGCTCGTCCAATCCCTTTTACGGGCTGAGTAACATCCAAATTACTTTCATACGGAATGTTTCTGAAAAAAGTATGAGATCCTGGGATTTAAGATCTTTTCCTTTTTTCTAATCTGGTTCATCATAAGCCTGTTTGGAAACTAATTTTCCTTTTCCCTATTTTAAATTTTACTCCGCTTACCTCCCCTTACACTTTCCTCTACTGCTACGAGACTACTTTAAAACATTTTATTTAATGCTCGTAATGCCCGCATATGTAGCATTCCAAAGATCAATGGTGTCCTCAAAATATTCTTGAATCGTAGTTAGCGAAAAAACATGAACGCGTTATAAATGTTCAAGTCTTCGTTAATTTCTGTTTCTGTCTTTCGTTGTAGTCGTGGCAGTATTATTGCTAAGTTTAAGCTGACGTTTTTCCGGGATATTGCTAACAATCTTGGCGCTAATGTGACCAAGAAGCTAGTTGAGGCTGTGGACAGTGGAGAATTAGCAGGGTTGGCCGTTGATCAATCATCTTTAATTATCAAGATAGAAGATGGTACGCTAGCCCTTCAGTTGTTCTTTAACATTGCTCTGTAGCAGAGCTATGCTCCTCAAAAGGATCATGTTCTTGTGGTTTGTGTGAGCTGCCTCAGCCTTCTGCTTCGGCAGATAGCTCAGACCTCGGTTTTTATGATTCATGATATCAAGCTCAACCTCATCCAAGAATTGCTATGTACATTATCCCGACATTTAATAGCCCAAAGGTTTGTAAGTCGGTTATGTTCTTGTCTTAGGTGATGAATAATTATAATAACGTCTGGGCTCAAAGAAAGTGTTGATTATATATTTCCTCTAGTAATATTAGTTTTGTAGTTGTTTGTTTTGTTTTTGAACTGTTTTATCACCTTTTTGAAATTTCAGATTCAAGTGTTAGCACCAGCAGTCAGCCTACAACAGAAAATCAAATAGACAGTAAGTTAATGTAAACAGACTAGCTTTGAAACAGATGCGAGAGTCCGTTTATTGGTGTTCTCAGCTAGAGCTATTCTGTTTAACACTTGTCTTAATTCTTATTGTTACAGGCGAAAAGGGTACAAGGGTAATAAACATATTGATACCAGCTTTCCTTTTCCTGTTGATGTGTTGCTGCGGGTTAGGTTTGTATCTCTTCTGTAAGCGCAAGAAAGGAAATCATCCGCTAAACCACCAGCAGTTTAATAACCCGATTTTCTTCTCAAACTCCAAGCAAGAGGTACAAACAAATGGTCATGCAGTAACTTCAAACGGGACTACAACAACAGCAACGTAAGACCTACCTTGGGAGAGAAGTCGTTACAGGAGATAAATGGCGGCTGGAGGTGAAAAGAAAAATTTTAAGAAAATGAATATTTAAAAAAAACATGGTCTTTGGCTTTCGTTGATAAAATTACCGTTACGGTAAAATGGAGTAATTATTCCGCATTTTAGCATCTGCGTGACGACTGCAAAGAGCAAAATGCAATAAAATGAAGTGTTACCCAAGCTAAAAAAAAAAAATGGCATAAATTCCAAAATTATAGTCTGAAGGTTTTTGATATCCAACTTTTTCTTTTTTTGCAAAATTTATTTTAAAAAGCGGTAACACTTATTTTATGTGCTTTTTCTGTCAGAGGTCGTTATTTTCTTTTTATACTTGGAACGGGTGTATTTAAATTTACATAACACTAGATGTAACCCAGGCATTCATTTCTATGCGGCCTCGTTCGATAAAATGCACCACGTGGTACAAATCATGAGAGAATATGCTTGGTTCTATTTGATAAGACTTTGTTGTGAACTCACAGCTCCAAGTTAACAAGGAAATCAAAGGTGAAGAGTTCATTTTGTTAGACTCAATTCTTTAGTTGCGTGACGACTTGCTTCACTTTAGGAAGTCGGGCATGGTGTCCTAAAACGATAATTAACAAGTAGCCACCGACACTTACGTGAATAGTCGTTTTAGTAGATACTAAAACAGTGAGATGTTAGAGCACAAAAAGATGATTTTAACTCATTTATTTATGCAGCGATTACAATATTTTCGCGCGCAAATCCAGCACGCGTTGCTCGAAGGTGAAAAAGGAAAGGATATAAGGAGTTTGAGTAGCCAATTAGAGCGCGCCATCTACACTAAGATTGTGCAGCTGTTTTCCCGGCATGAAGCTCAGTAGGTCTTTTGTTATCAATGTTACTTCAGCAGTAGCGAGCTTTTCCTTTCAAAGTGAAAATGTCACTTCAAGGTATTTCACCTTTTTATTCTGCAAAATAAATAGAAATAAGCTGAAGGCTGGAAAACATATGGAGAATTCTAGCTCTAATGCATGCATAAATTAGTGTTTTATCAAGCCGCTTTTACACCAGAGAGGATTCTCGATTGCCTTAGTTTTTTTGCGCAAAAGGACTTTTGTCCGTCTGGGAAACGAAGTTTCTCACTCTTAATCTCTTAATTTTGTGAATATAACGGAAATCTTTCTGGTGTAATTGGATCCAAGCTGTCCTATCATATAAGTTAAGTATGAGATAACCACAAGTGTTACAAAAGTGCTTATCTCACATATATGCATGTTTATACTGGTGCATGCGCAATGTGACCCGGGAAACATGTTCTGCATCGTCTCTATGCAACGTTGTTTTTCTGTGCACATTGATTTGAATAACTGAATAATTATGGAAATGTGAAGGATGAGTTAATGACTTTATACTGGGCAATGATTTTCAGTGTATCAGGTTATATATTACTATATTCAAAAACGGAATAATCTTAACATCTAACCCTTAAAGTGCTTAGCACTCAGTGAAAATTATAATGGACTCCTTTCTACGATGGAGTTTTTTTTTTTTAATAAACTATGTCCATCATTTTTGACATGTTAAAGATGTATCAAGTATTTCTAAACCGGGGATAAGGCTACAATTTTTCCAACAGTTTGTTGGAGTACACTGATACAGGAACTTGTGGCTTTTAGTGACCTTAAGCAAGATTGTAATGATAGGAATTATTTTATAAAGTGACTTCTTTTATATTTATCTACTTCTCACTTAATGTTATTTACGTGTCTTTGTTTTCCCCTTGTTCCAGGTTTATCGTAACAAAAAATTATTGTACTTTTAGTGATTTGTATCAGCTAAAAGCATAAATAAGCGTAAGATTGAACAATTTTATTCTGACTTAATTATGCTTTACCCAAGCTTCTGCGAAAAATTTCCTGCAAGTTTTTATATATCAGAAAAAAACAACAATAAAAGAACAAGTTTTGCTGTAGAAAATAGTTACTTTTTCTTTTTAGTGTATAGTTGTTACAGAAGACGTTAAAGGGTCTTCAACTGCCCTCATTCGGGAAAAGAAAATCCTATGCCTTTCATTCGCGAAAGAATTGAATGCTCTAGCGAATTAGATCTCACTTCCTCTATGTTTGAAATTTAACTATACCATCACTTTAACCTTAATGAAATTAACCTCATCTTGGTTTCTATGCCAATGAACGACAAATTTCACGATTGTCAAAAGCTTTGTGTCCGTACGCGGCTTCCCTGGCAATTTTTCACTGCAACGGTGGAAACATAATGAAACAAGCCAAGCAAAGCACATTCCATCTCAAGGCACTTTGTAAACAATTGGGCAAATGTTTCCTGCTTTGATGAGATAAAATCTTTAACTTACCAGAGAGCTTTCGATACGAAAAAAAGTTTGAGTGACTTCGATAAAGTATCTTTGGGTCAGAAAACTGTAATCTTTCTCACAAGTGCGTTTGTCTTACAAAAAGTATCCTTTAAGGTATCTTACAAAAAGTGTTTAAAGTAGCATGAGCAAAGAGAAAGTGAGTAAACGCCAATAAATTTTGCTTGTAGGTATGTTCAGAATAAAGGAATTGTGTTCGATTTTAGACACCAGTGTCAAATTTTGGACACTATTGTCCGAGTCTTTTTTTTATTATTATTATTACGCCCGTTTGTTTGTCTGCTCTGCCAAGCCGTTCCTTAGGTTAAAAGGAAGTCTTCTTCAATTGAGGTAGATTTAGTTTTTTCTTTTGGGCTTATGCTTTAAATTACTCGAATAGTGGATGATGGAGAGAGTGGGGAAGAGACATACACTTAGCTGTTATTTAATTTGAATGTAAAATTCTAGGGGAACAATTCTTCTGGATCGTCTGCTAGACTTCACCGATCAATACTTAAACAACAATACGACAAAAACAGACATTTAAATACTTAGAGAAAAAAAGGCAGCATTCAAAGAAACATCATAGAAAATACACAACTGAGAAATTATTTTTTACTAGCATAACTTTGAGCTTTGTGCACCCAGGGATAAACCACCCTTTGAATTTTTTCCATGATGTGACGTTATCACAGGATTTCCTACAAGGTGCCAATCTTCCAAAACTAGACCAAAATTTCAAGCGAAAGCATCATAGCTTGGAAATGGAATGGCAAAAAGAGTAGCACGTACTGAAGATTTATTTCTTTTAATTCCACTTCTGTTCTCAAACGAGATTTCTTTTCCCTAAAGATCTACTGACCCGCTCTCTTTTTTTCTGTGAGTTTCCTACCTTGTGGCGTGGGGCTGGCGACTTGTGGCGCTTGGCTGGTGGCACCTGGATGAGGAGCCGTGAGCGGAGCTTGCTGGAAATGCATAAGCTTTTGCTGTTGATGTGCCTGTGCCTGCTGCTGCTATTGTTGTTGCTGTTGTTGCTGCTGTGGTGGGATCTGCAGCTGAGGTTGGGATGTCTGTGGTTGTGGTTGCGGCTGGGCAGGAGAGGCAGCTGACGGGGAAAGGTGACCGGCAGCAGCTCGAACGCGCAGCTCGGCGGCCTTCAGTTGTTCTATTGCTGAAGACAGTACGTTGTCCCTTTATGTGTGAAGGGGTGCCAATCTTCCAAAACTAGACAAAAATTTAAATCGGTTGCTTCTAATTTTGGAAATGGGATGGCAAAAAGAGTAGAAAGTACTGAAGTTTTATTTCATTTAATTCCATTTCTGTTCTAAAACAAGATTTCTTTTCCCCCAAGATTTACCGACTCGCTCCCTCTTTCTTTTCTGTGAGTTTCCTACCTGTGGCGCGGGGCTGGCGACTTGTGTGTGACTTGTGTGACTTGTGGCGCTTGGCTGGTGGCACCTGGATGAGGAGCCGTGTGCGGGGCTTGTTGGGAATGCCTTAGCTTTTGTTGTTTATGTGCTTTTGCCTGCTGCTGCTGTTGTTGCTGTCGTTGCTGCTGTGGTGGGATCTGCAGCTGAGGTTGGGATGTCTGTGGTTGTGGTTGCAGCTGCGCAAGAGAGGCAGCAGATGGTGAAAGGTGACTGGCAGCAGCTCGAGCGCGCATCTCGGCGGCTTCAGTTGTTCTTGATAGAGCTGTTGTCATTCATCAGCGAGTAGCTGTTGACGCTGATATTCCAACTTTTGGAAAAATATAACAAGACATGGAGAGCTCAGCACGTACGTTTTAAAACAGTGTACAATTCTTAGCCGTCCTCTGCAAAATAACAACATGAAATCATCAAAATTTGCAATAACCTCATCATCCTACATGCCTAAGGCCTGGAAACGCTACGTAGACGATACCTTTACCACCCTGGATTGTGGAACCGTCGATGACTTTTACGGCATCTCAACAACCAGAAGCCCTCCATCCGCTTCACCATCGAGACATAGAATGACACCAAATTAGCCTTGCTCGACACCGCAGTTTCAAGAGAACCTGACGGCCGCCTCACCACCAGCGTAAACAAGAAGCCCACACACACTGATCAGTACTTAGCGTATGATTCACACCACCCACAATCGATAAAACGCGGTACTGTTAAAGTGCTCATAAAACGAAACTTTTTTGCATTTTCTGATAGACATTGGAAGTACGATTTAGCGGCCGGAAAGTGTCCCCATCAAGCGCGCAGCCAAAATGATCATGTTACATAGCTGTGACGTAAAAAAGACACGTCGGCAACTTTAGTGGAGAAAGGACAAATCTAGAAGAAAGGACGAACGTATTGCATGACTGGAGCGCCAAATCGGAATGAAGTGACGGAATGATGCAGATTGGTTTCTGTATCTTATCTTGAAGCCTTTTTTTGTAGGTCCGATGTACGTTTCAGTAGTGCTATTGTCCTTACGTGTGACGGTGGCTTTGTAGATAACTATTGATTGGAGGCAGTACCCGTTGAGTGGGCATGGAATCTTTTGTCGGCAGTTACAAGTTTTGTTGTCTTTTGTGTTATTTGCGGTGTCATCTGCGTTGTCATCCATATGTTCCGATGAATATAAGATGCGTTTGTTGTGGTTGTCGATAATCTGCTTAGTGCTATTCATGCAGCTGCAACTGATCCTGATGGTGTTACGATTACAGATTTTTCTAAGTTTGTGGTATTTAGGGAAGTGTTTGTCAACTAGGGCAAGGATCTGTGTCCGATCTTGGTGCTTAGGGTAGATGAAGGTTAACGTGGTAGAACATGGTTAGCGTAGATGAGGGTTAATGAGGGTTAACGTGGTAGAACATGGTTAGCTTAGGGTAGATGAGGGTTAACGCGGTAGAGCATGGTTAGCTTAGGGTAGATGGAGGTTAACGTGGTAGAACATAGTTAGCTTAGGGTAGATGAGGGTTAACATGGTAAAACATGCTTAACTTAGGGTAGATGAGGGTTAAAGAGGTAGAACATGGTAAGCTAAGGATAGATGAGGGTTAACAATGTCAATGGAGATGGAGCAGGTAGGAATCACTCTTAAAGTGGATGACGTTGGACATTTGCAGTCCAGAGATAGGCCCTTATTAGCAGCGAACCTGAATGGAATTGTAACAAACCTAACTACCCAAGAAAAATAGGGGATAGAAATTAAATCACCTCTAAGCAAAGTGGGAATGAGAGTAGAAGATGCATGCAAAGTAAAACATTCTTTCTGGAAAAACTTAGTGATAGAACAAGACTGAAAAGAAATCATGATTATTATATTCAAGTTCAGGGCCAATTTTATGTTGCCTCAGACTTAAATATTGAAAGTATTCATGGTGTACTTTGGTGAGGAAATGTCTCTTTTGAAAGAGAAAAGTTTTTTGGAAAGCCTTTGCGAGAATCAAGAACTCTTACCTTAACTTGATTTTTTTTAAAAGGCCTCTCTATCATGAAATGCTAACCAAAAAGGTTAAAAGAGGCAAACTTTTGTACCTCCACGGTGGGTGGCTGCCATATGGGCAATATTAATGTACAGCAAATGGACTGAAGTTAGGATTTAGTAGGGCCCATTAAAACCTTTTAACCCTTTAACTCCTATGGGTGATCAAAACAGAATTTCTCCTTACAATATCAATACAATATCAAATAGAAAAGGCAAATTTCAACAAGGGGATCACAAGTTGGTCCAATACCAAATTCTCCGAACTTACATCTTTAGAAATGTATGGCAAACAGTAGGGAGAGTCACTAATGGGATCTTAAGAGTGAAAGAGTTAAAATATGATGTCATTGTAACCTTTCTTTGTCTATGCTGTGGAGTATTTAATTTCAACTACTGTTGATAAGCTGGTTTTAGTAATGGGAGAAGAACATTTGTTAATAAAGCACAGACTTTGACAATCTGTGAGGCATATGAGTTTAAAGTGTTTGAAAGTGTTCCATCTAGTATATGGTAGGTCTTTATCCTACCAATTGCTCGTTCAACATGTATGTGCACAGAGGCTACGCTCATGGTTTCCTAGGTTTCCACCCCAGTCATCTGATCCCTTCCAGCCATGAAAGGAGGCATGTTTACTATTACACCATTTGGCATGACATCAGAAATATCAAAGTCCCTGTCAACCATTATATTGTCACCAGGCTCTTACAAATGAGAACACTGCTTTCTCCGGTAATTTGTTTGTCTGAAAACTGTTCTCCCCACAGGTCTGAAATGAAAGACACCTGACTTTTTTTGTGACATCCTCTAGCACTTTCCATGTGTTATGGTGTTTATAATCTGACCGAGTTTCAGATTGTGCCAGCATACTTCACTGCATTAATCCAGGATAATTCTTATAGTAGGATATTCAGCAAACCCTTGAGGCATGTTCTCTCTGACTAATTCTTGCAATGGGAAGGGGAAGAGTCCAGGAAGTTCTGCAGAAAGAAAATTTATCCATGTAATGCAAATACACAAAACAAGACCTATGCTTATTCCAAATCTGTCGGAAAGATCGAGTACAAACAATCCCACCTTCAATCACAATAAGACAAGAACAAACTCTTGGAGGTAGGTAAGTGTCCTTGAAGGTCCTGCTTTACTTTTGTTCTTATCCATCTGATAAGGCTGACTTTCCCTCTAGAGTTTCTCTTCTTTCCAATATTGCATTTTCCAGACTTTCAGCTCAATGTAATTATAAAAGCTCATTTAAGCCTCATAATTGGGAAAGCCCGTGTAAAAAAGGATAGTTGCATTGTCATCTTTAATTTTGTCCAGAGAAAACCGGCATGCAAGCAAAGCTTCCTTTTCCTTCCCTAGCTGCACTACCTTTCCTCTGCTGTGGACACTAGCTTTTCTGGCATTTCAACCATGCTGAGTAAATTTAGCACCATAGCTTCAGGATCCACAGGCGGGTCAGGCATACTCACATTAGTAGCAGAATATGGTGAAGCTGACAAAGTATCATTTAAAGCAGTTTTTCCAGTTTCATCAGAAAATTCATCTTCCACTTCAACAGTTTTTAAACTTCTAGATGTTAAAGAAGCAAAAAGTCCATCTCTCTGAGGTTGCTTCCTCTTCAGAGTTTCAGAACCTGGAAATACATCAAACAATAACAGTCCGTTTCATCTAGGTTAATAAATTTGGTTCCAAGAAAAATAAAGTGGCATGCATCTAGTCCTTTAATCTTAGTGACCTTCATTAAATAGAGAATAATACTTGGGCGCGCGTTGATATGAAACTTCTCTTCAAATGTTTAACTCGATAGCTCACGAGTGAGCGCAGCGAACGAGTGAGATGTCGAGTTGAACACGAGAAGAGAAATTCCATATCAACAAGCAACCATGTATTATTTTGTTTATCATATAAACACAATAGCCCTTTACTGAGAAGAAAAGTCGACTTTATTAATGAATGAAAAAATGTAAACAAACATTTTCGATCCGCTATCCGCGAAAAAAAGCGTAAAGTGATAAGGATCAAGAGATAAAAACACGGTGAATCGTTATTCCAAAAATATAAAGAAACAAACAAAAAGTGAATGTAACTTTTCACTCAAGAAATGACAGTTTATATCTGTTTTAAGTACAAAACCACTAAAGTTCTTGACTACTTTCCTGGCTGTCCAACACTCGGAGTCGCCGAAACTTCTTCCGTTGTGGACTTTCATTGACCATCGTACTGGTGGAAGCTGAAGTTGAAACATGAACGTTGAATGTTCCTCCAGAAATATAATTTCCTTGAAAGAGAGACTAGAACATTTGACTTTTACCGGGCACGAGCGTGCCAGAAAATTCTTGTTGTGTCACAGCTGCGGCACTGTTTGCGATTGAAGCTGCTGCGAGACAGAATTGCTTGAACATGCTTTCGACAGGAGGGTTGAAATTGCCATTTGCTGCTTTTCCCCCAATGAACTGTAGTTTTTGATGGACTGAAGATTCTTATGGCCGGTTATCTGGACAATTTCTGTCGGAGGAACATCGCTTTCTCG